TAAGCATAGCCTTGCTTAATTTATGCTCTAAGTAAGGTAGTTACGTAGCTATAAGAAAGAGAAATAGGCATTAAAGTAAGCAAAGATTGCGTAGAGTTACTAGGCGCTTCTAATAGTTGCTGCTTATAAATATAAGATAGCACTTATCTACTATAATCCTGCGTAAGATACTCTACTATATAAGTCTTCTAGCATATTTAATAAAGAGCTAGGTGCTAGTAATGTTAGCGCTTACTAATATAACTAGAGCTAATAGCTCTTTGCTACTTAACTATTCTAGATACAGTATGCTTATAGCTATTAGGCGCTCTTTTATATTATTTAGTAACTCTTAGAAAGATAGTACTATAACTAAAACTTCTAGGTTCTTAAGGCAAGCTAGAGCTAGAAAAAGCAGGCTTTTACTACTACTAGTTAGTAGTATAACTATAACTAGAGTTTAGCTACTAACTACTACTTCTAACGCTTATGCTTACTTAGTAGATTTATACGCTAAGTTAAATTAATTAAGCGCTTTGCTTATTATAGCTTTAATAGAGATTTTACTAACTAATACCTAGTATAAGCGCAGCTATTTTACTAGACGCTTAACTAAGCTAGTTAGCAGTTAAGAGTTTATACCTAGATGCTCTATGCTTTTATAGCTAGTGCCTTAGAGTAGAATAGCTAGAGATAAGTAGCAGAGTTATGCTAACTTTTAATAGCTCTTAGCCTAAAGAGTTTCTAGTATAAGGCTCTAAGGATTCTAACCTAAGAAATTTATGCTAGTAGTTACTTAGAGCCTAGAAGAAGTATATTAAGCATAAGCTTAAGTTCTTTACTATATCTATTAGTATACTATAGCTTTATAGTCTAATTTATTCTATACAGCCTGCTTAGAGATTAATTCTACTCTCTAATTTAGTTTTCTTTAGTTCTTTAGAATCTTCTTAAGAGTTATAATTATGCGTACTATAGCAAAAGTCTTTTCTAATAAACTAGTATCTAATTATAGAGATAGTATAGCAATATTCTAGCAACTTAAGCGTATATCTAAGATAAGTTCTAGTCTCTCTCTATATAATATAAGTAAACTAATCTAGCTCCTAAGCTCTAGTATTAGTTAACTAGAGGTAGTTACTATAAGAGTTACCTAGAATAGTATAGTAAAGGTATTCGCGCAAAGAGCAGATATATACTAGATAAAGAAGTAGTATCTACTTAACTGCTAAGAGTAGAAAGCATAGGATAATCTTTAGTTAATTCTATTATAACTAAGTCTTATTATATTAGATAATAAAGGTAACTTAGCTATTAATTACGTAAATATTATAGTCTTAAGCGTAGTTATTGCGCTACCTTACTAATGTAATCTTAGTTTCTCTTATAGGTTAGCTACTAGTTATATATACTAATAGAAAGAGAAGCTCTAAAAAAGAGTTAATTCGCTTAATAAATTTGCGAATAGCTAAGTATATCTATATCTCTTAAGCTTGCATTTGTTAGCTAGTAGAGCTAGTAAGAAGTTAGTTAAGAGTTTATTTAAAGCTATTACTAAGATTATTTACTTTGTTAGTAAGAAAGGAGTACTCTCTAACTTTATAGCAAATATTATTCTAAATAGTTATAATAGAGAGGCTAAAGCAGTTTGCTATAAGAGGAATAAATATAAGATCTTTCTAGAGATTATTTTATCTAGCCTCTACTAGACCTAATACTATGCTCTTAAAACGCTTAATAATAAGAGGCTAGCTACAAAAATAGAGGATAGTATAATCTTAAGACTATAGAGTATTAGCCTTATTACTTTTATTAAATGCAATATATTTAGCATAAGCTAAGAGGCTAATTAGTAATTATAATACTAAATAGGCTGTATAAACTATTAATAAGGTAATTCTTACGTTATTAGTAAAAGAATTCTCGCTCTATCTAGCCTTATTACTTCTAGATAGCAGATAGTAGAATAGCTTCTACTGCAATTACTCTAAGGTAGTATACTATACTTACTAGTATGCCTAAATAATCTTTAGCGCGCTATAATTAGTAGGTATATAAGTTAATGCCTAAGATAGCTAGAAAATAAATAAGTCTATTAGAAAACTAGTTACTGCTAATATGCTAGAAAATAAAAGCTTCTAGTAGCTTAATAAGCTTCTGAATTTAAGTGCTCTTATTATTAAGATTTAGAAATTAAATAAAGCTTATTATAAGCTCTAGTTAATTCTCTTGCTAGAGAAATAAGGCTATAGTATTATGCAGCAGATATTAATATATTATTAGCTAAGTTAAAGTATTTATACTTAAATTAGAGCTAGAGAAAGAGCTTAGTAGATTCTATATAGCAGCTATAGGCATTTAAGTGTTACTAGTAATTTCTTTCTTATAGATTGCCTATGCAACTCTAAGGCAGTAGCAGGTAAAGCGCTTTAGATATCTAGTATAATGCTATTAAGATGCCTTATTCTAAAGGCGTTCTATAGGCTAGGTCTTAATCTCTGTCTTCTTAGAGCTTCTTAACTAGCAGTAGGTCTCTAGAGGTAAGATAGAAAGACTAGCTACTCTCTACTCTATAGCTAAGTCTACTACTCTAACTACCTATTATAATAAAGTATTATAGCGATTAGGTAGCTAGCTTGCCTAGTAAAGTTATTTTAGATTATATTTTTTAAGATATTCTTACTAGCTATTCCTAGTAAACTAGCTAGTTTAATCTGTTCTAGAAATAATAGCTTTAGTAATATTATATATATTAAGTTATTATTACTAAGCGTTCTAGTATTTAGCTAAGATAGTAGTTATCTTAGAATTTAAGAATATATTTTTAATAGTCTCTATATAATTAGGATCTAGAGTGCCTAAACTAGATATTGCTATAGTAAAATAGCGCTAATAGCTACTAGTTCTAAAGAGTATCTAGACTTTTACTCTCTACTAATACTTTCTTACTGCTAGTAAGCTTTGCTATTAGTGCTCTTTATTATAGTATTAAGCTATAGTTCTTTAGTTAGTACTAATATAGCTATAGCGCTGCTCTTTATATTGCTATGCATAAATTAGATCTTCTAGAAGCGCAATTAGTTCTCTACTATAAGTAGAGTAGGTAATATTGCAAGAACTTATAATCTATAATACTAGCAGTTCTAGGAAGCCTTTCTCTCTACTAACTTAGTTATAGATCTTAGATAGTACTAAATAACTGCAGTTTAGATAGGCTTTCTAGTTTCTTATGCCTCTATGCTAGGTGCAAATAATTATGCTAAATTTAGAGAGGTAGTAAAGTAGCGCGCAAGCGCTAGTAAATTATAGTAATAAGATAGAGTCTTCTTAAGCCTGCATAATTATATATAGCAATTATATAAGCAATAAAGAATTAGAATTAAATACTTAAAATATTATTAAATATAAGCTGTCTTAAGAAGAGAGTAAGTAATTAAGGATATTAGCTAGTGTTAAATAAAGTAATAAGTATTATAATTATAGCTAGAGCTTACTAAGCTAAGAAGCAGAGTATTAGCATATTAGCGCTAGCAGGCCTAAAGTAACAGCTTAAGTTTTAAAGTTCCTTACTAAAGCAAACTCTCTAACTTTAAATGCCTATATTACAACGAATTTTAATGCTATTATAGTTCTAAGTGTAGATCTAAGCTTAGCGCACCTTTCTGCAGAATATAGCTTCTTAGAAATATATTATTTCCCTCTAGAAGGTTATTCATTTCTACGTTGCATTCCTACAACATAGCGCCTTACTAAGGCCTATTCTAATTAGCTAAGCTCTGTATTCCTACTAGAAATGCAGGTAGACTCGAGGACAGAGCGCGCGTCCGAGATCTACGCTGACGTAGCCTAAACAGTAACGTATGTATTAGATTCACGAGAGGCTGCGTTCTTCTAGGTTAGAATCGAAGCTAAATCTAAGAACAGCGCCTATGTTTTTAGGCGTAGGTAGAGGTGGAATAGGAGAGGTTTAACTGCCTTTGCTAACCGCTTTATGCTTAACCTAAACCTTAATCTAACACTTCGATAAGCAGTAGTGAGCAATTTCGTAGATTGCGCAATGCAGACTACCTTTATTACCACACTTATCGTAGGCCTGCTTACTGGATTCGCTGTCGTTATCTTCGAGGCTAAGTCTGTTAAAGTAGAAGAACGATATCTAGATTTTAGCGAGTCGTGTTGCTGCAAATACGAGAAGTCGATAGTGCGAGCGTGAAGTGCTTTCTGTAGTTTTCGGCAACGCGTTATGGTCTAAACTTAAGCGCTAGTGAGGTAAAGTGAAAGAGTCTAGCGAGCATGTATTTGCAGCCCCTAGTTTGTGCTGGCGCTCCTGTGTGCTTTTTTGACTGGGGACTGACATATTTAGTATGTGTTCTAGATCGGAATTTCTAAAAGGTACAATCTGTATACACTTCGGCGTTTCCGGTCTGACTGTCTGTTTGGGGTGGAATTCAGCAAACGTGAAAAGAACGACGAATATACTGCAAACAAATATAAGACATGATTGGTTACCATGTTTTGCCATGTGTGAGGATCAGTGGCACATACCAGTCCTTAACAGATCTCACTGCCGTCACGGATCGCGGTGTAAAAACCCAAGCTGACTTCGCATCAGCAACGTGCTAAGATTTCTCTCGTTTGGGAATGTGTCTTTGACCTCGCTTCCCTATGCAGCACTACCACTTGAAAATGCGTTGTTGAGCGCTTCCGAGAGCGAGATGTAAATACAAACTGGGTATTCAGGGCTTCAAGATCTGGCCTGGACGATGGAAGCAGTTTGGAGTAACGTCCCTACATCCTGCTACGGGAATAGGAGCACTACCACTCAGATCCCTTTGCTGATTCTAAATAAATCTCCATAGCTTCCTGCCGCCAGGTATCTGCTTGTGTGGTGAGACCGGATAGTTTGAACCATGCACTTGTGGGATCAACATTTGAATATTCGGGCCACCGTTGCTTTACATCAGCTTCTGTCATATGAGTTAGTGAAAGAACGTCTTCTGGAGCATGGATATGACGCCCATCTAAACGAAATAGACTAGGAGCACTGGGCGGGTCGGAGAACAGGATGTATCGAGCATTCTCATCGAAGGCAATACAGACTTACTATTGTGATTATTGGGCGAGCCCGTTACCGTAAAACTGATCCACATGCGACTGATAAGGTCCATCATCTCAGCAGCATCAGCCTTGTCAGACTCCTGGGGAATTGGATTCTTCTCCCATCCTACAGCCTCAGCATTGCCGAAGACGTAGGCAATCTCCGCAAAATGTGGCACACCGTATATGGCTGGATCTAGAAACGACTCGTCAGGTGTAATGTCAAAGAAATAGCTATAGCTCGGGACACCGAAACCGCTCCAGATCTGATTTGTGTGGCGTTTGGGAAATGTAAATAAGTTGTCGCCATGCCATAGCGAAGTGCGGGAAAACTCAAGACCCAGCGGTGCAGCTTGCGATGGCGAGATAGGACCCAGGCCTGCTTCTGTGGGGTTTTCAATTTCGTCTCCGTACAGATCCCAAAGCTTGCGTATTGCAGCCGCAGGGAAATCACGGCCTGCGAACAACGCTGCGAACTCTTCAAAGGTATTCAATGACATGTCCAGTCCTGCGATGATCATGGCCATAAGTGCAGTACCCTCGTTCCTATTTATTCCGGCGATGATTGGGACTTTGAGGAAATGACCATCCTCCAATGATTTGGAGGGAAGCTCCGGGAAAAAATCATCGTTGGTGGTGATGAGGATCATCCGCGGAGGACTTGCGAGCCCAAGAATTTCTGTCGGCACAGCTTGGAGGCAAGCAATAGAGTCTTGAGAAGTAAGGCACCCAGTTGCGTTGAGAATCCCCTGGAAAGCGTTCTCCCTAGTAGGAGCATCGGCAAGTGGATGGGCTGTAGCTGCAAATCCGCTTTGCATAATTGCCCCATGAAAGAGATTGTCGTCCCTTCCTCCAAATGCAATGAGTTGTTGTCCTATCGAGGCAGCACCAGCTGACTCGCCGAAGAGTGTTACCCGATCTGGATCCCCACCAAATGCAGCGATATTCTCTTGGATCCAAAGTAATGCCTGACGCTGGTCACGTAGCCCATTGTTCGTTAAACCAGCTGCCTCAATCGCTGAGCCTGCTAAGAACCCAAATGTGCCTAGTCGGTAGTTTATGCTGACATATATGATGGGCGTTTCCATCTTCACAGACTTTTGCACCAGGAAAGACCCATTGTATCGTGGATCAGTACCACTGCCAGTAACCCAGCCTCCTCCATGGATCCATACCAACACAGGCAGTGATGCCTGCTCAGGCAGCGGTGCCTGCTCAGGCAGCGCAGTCGCGGGTCGCACGATATCCAAGTAAAGACAATCTTCGCTTGTAGGCGCTACACTATCAAAAGATTGTGTGAAGCCTGGGAGATGCCCTACGAGCTGCGAACTACCAGCACACCAAGGACTGTGGACGTCTGCGTTCCTCGTGCCATTCCAAGCTTGTGGCGGCTCTGGTCGTTGGAGGCGATGCTTGCCAACTGGAGGGGTGGCAAAGGGGATCCCGAAGAAGAAATCTTGATTGAAGGCGGCATTATGCACACCAGCTAGAGTGCCATTCTTCACGTTAACTAGGGGAGTACTCTGTGGGGAAGACGTCAAAAACGCTGTTGTCGAATTCAAGACGAACTGTGCCAGAAAAGAATTAACGGTCTCGAAGAGCTGCATGATACAGTCTCAAAGATACTGGGAGATGGATTGGAGAGGAGACAGAACTAGAGTGAAACTTTGTGATATCTAGGGCGCTCCCATCGACCAGAGATGCCTTTTTCATCGTCCAAGTGACTAGAGTGTCCTCGCTTTCGGCACATGAGCGCCCCAAGCACGGTACCATGGCTACCAAGAATTTGCCCTGCCGGTGCTTGAACTTCCCGGGGCCGAGATACTCTTATGGTCACGTGAGGCTACCGTGATTCGTACGACAGAGTGGAGGCTTGCTCACACTACCGTACACTTATCGTTGCAATTGGGCCGAATTGCGAGAAAAACATGGCAAGGGGTGCACAGACATTTGCTCGGTGTGAAACATTAGCATCTCGCCGAAGCGGAGTGTCACGAAATCGGAACTATGCCTCGTAGCGATCTTGCATCTTCAATCCTGACCAGGGTCGACAGCGAAGGCTACCTTTCATAGTGGCTCGGTAAATTCGGGTTGACATTTCCGTTAGGGTATCTCGATTTTAGCGGTGATTCACCGCAAGCCGTCAGGGTATCTCGATGTTAGCGGTGATTCACCGCAAGTTTCGTCGGCTCAACGCCGGGCGTCTACTATCGATAATTACCATGATGCAAATTGTGACCCAAAGGCTCTCGGTGCGCTCTTACCGGCTGTTGCAATGCTAGTATGACGATAGTGAACAAATAAAAAATTGTAGCGATAAAGAGAGGCACGCTGAGACGTATATAATAGCTGTGGACGAGTAGTGCTGCATGCTTGGGAGTAAACGGCTGTTGCCAGGATTGTGTATAAAGTACTGAGAGCTTGTCATTGAAGCTACGAATGGTATCAAGTATGCCCAACGCCGCGCCTATTGTGTACAGTGCAATTCAATCTAGGAAATCCTTTTCATATCCAATTCACGTGGTAGTTTTCCAATCAACCGATCAAGAATGTGAAAGATCGACCTTAGCGGCGCAGGCAGCGGCCCCAAGCTATTGCTTCATTAGTACGTATTTCGCCGGGACAAGACAGGTAGACAACTCACCAGGCAACCCGCACCCAAACCCAACGAAGATGTAGATCAAGAACAAGCACACCACAAATAACAATACCATCAACTTGACATTCTTCCACCACATCTTCCTCCGCAGCGTGCGACTCCGGACGCGGAAGTCTCTCGCGTTCTCGCCCAACCGGCCCGTCTTGTCGACAAGCACGCTCATGTGCTCCCCACGCTCGAGCACGCGCTCAATGTTCTCCGTCATGATTTCCCTCACGCCATCGATTTCGCGCTGCGCCGTGCGCAACGCATCCTCCTGCCCAGCCAGCGTGCCACCCTGATGCATCATGACGCGCTTCAACTCGGCATTGAAGCTCGCGCAGCCATAACTTGGCAAATCCCCAAAAGCCGTGTCATCCACATCAAACTGCGCGAAGAACTTGTCCTGCAGGGTCTGCAAGAAGCCGTACGGGACGCCTTTACCCGCAGCTTTCTCTGCGACGACGAGGAAGATGAGGCGGCCTGGGGACTTGGCGTTTGCGGGCTTGCGCATGAGCAGGTGGACGGAGTGGTTGTCTTTGTCGTAGGAGCGGCGGGTCTCGGGCGGGTTCTCTTTGGCGATTAGGGGCAGGATCATGGAGATGAGGGAGGAGGCGTTGGAGCTGGCGGAGGCGGTGTGTTCGGCGAGGACAGTGGTGTCGTGGGCGATGCATGCGCTGTGGAGTGCTGTCAGTCTGCCATCTACACATTGTATCGCCGTGGAGAATGAAGACGTACTAGAGCAGCGAGGTGGAACTAGATGCGGAAGCCATGGTTCTGTGTTTCTTTCCTGCGCGCAACTGCTTCTTCGGGCTTGACGATGATGATCGGGAGGTGGTCTTGGGGGGCAAGATGAGGCCGCGAGATAGCAATGTGCTGTGTTCGTCGGTGCCGTCGTGGTGTTGTGTGACGATGGTGAGTGGAGGACCGTGGAAGCTGGGGATGCTGCCTCGAGCCGGGCGCGTCATCGCCAAGATGTGACCTGATGCACGGAAAACGTGGGTGAAGACGCGCTAGGGCTGCAGGGCGGGCCGCGGCTTCTCTTCGTCTCGTCGCGACTTGTCGGGCTGTCTTGGAGCAAACACGTAAGGAAATCGACGTGTGCAGCGGAAGAGGTGCTTGCGCGCTGGCAGAGTTGGAGTTGAGAAGTGCAAAGGCTGTTTGTTTGGGAACGCAGTTGCGCTGGGTGACACAGAGCCCAATTTCAACCTTCGCCGTTTTCACTTTGACATCTTAGATTTGCGCGCAAGCCACATCCTTGCTTGTAACACCACGACACCATGGTACGCGTCAAGTATCGCTATCTGGTGGTAAACTTCCTCTATCCAGAGCCCGTTGCGAAGAGCAAGACGCCGCTTCCCGATCTCGTACAGATTCACGCGCCCACGCCTGATGCTTTCCATGCCGGCACGCTCATGCGCTTGATACGCGAAGGCGTCGAAGATCTATACGGCGACTATGGTGCGGGCATGGTCTCTACCGGACTCAAAGGTTTGTCGCATTCGATGCTCATGCACGTTATACTAATCTTGCTACAGTTAACTACTGGTCTCCCTCTACGTCCACCGCGATCATCCGCTGTCCCCGCGACCACTACGAGATGGTCTGGGCCGCACTCACATACACCACGCGTCTACCCAAGCCCGCAGATCTACCAGTCGTCATGAGGGTCGTACGTGTGAGCGGGACCATCAAGAAGGCGGAAGAGGAGGTAATTCGGCGGTCGCAGCTCATCATCAAGAGGGCAAGGGCTGCAGAGACGAAGACTCCCATGCTAGAGAGTGTGGAGAAGGTTGCAGACGAAGCGAGGAAGAGCGAGAACAACATCTTGGCGCAGGTCGATGCGGGCAGCGAGGATGACGATGAGGACATGAGTGAATGAGGCGGATCGAGGGTTATGTGCTTGACACCAAGATACCACAGAAGAATTGTGTGGTGAAGAAAGGACGCCCGTTGCAGGAGTGCGCAAATGCTCAAGTGTAATGGATTCGGCCATCGGCACAAGGAAGTTCTCGGAAGCAGACTTGCTCTCGGTCCAGCATTATGGCTCTGGCCCTACCAACATAGGCTTTATCGTCCGAGGAAGAACCCCTCAAATGTGCCGGTCGACTTTTGTCAGTGACCAGGACTTACAAACGACCATCTAATCAATGCGAGAGACCTACAACACCTTCATGCCTGCATGCCAGGGCTGCACAATGGCGGACTAGGAAGTTATAAAGCCGGCTTCGCTAGTCGCGTCATCTGATGGGAGGAACATTAGGGACACCAGTTGATGCTTGAACGAATGCACGCAGAGACATAAAAGAATGGAATTACGACGATGATATTCACTTCGTTGTTATGCTTCACGCCAAAACCTGAGTCCTCTCAATCCACCTCACGCTCTCGCAGCCACCACAACCTATGAAGAGAGGGGCTGTCTCTAGCATTCAATCCAAGCAAAAAAAAATCTCAAAAACATACAACAGCGGGGATTCGCCAGTGGTCACCCACCTGACTACTAATCCGCCGGTGCGATGCTTAAATATGGCTGAGCGGACGGGAAGCCTTGTATTCAACGCCCTATGGTCATATGTGGAAGAGAGCTGTCGCGCACTGCTACATGAACCACGTGTCTTTCTGTCCTATCTATCATCATGCAGGTCGACTTCTGACCCTCACATTGTTGAGTCTTACGTTCGCACTTCTCGTTTCAACACCATGTTCAAGCAGTTTTGACAACTTTTGCGACCCGCGCGCATAAAACATCACAACACTGCAGCGACTACGAGCCGAGCCCTTTATGTCCCCGCTTTGGTGGAAGCAAGGGAACACTTGCGACACGGTAAGCACAACGCATTTTGAATATGATCTCAAACCCACTAATTGTTCTCATAGAAATGAATCCATACATCTACACCACTGGACGCTGGTTGAACAATGACCAATTACATCGCGACGCACGTCGCGTGGACTTTGACTTCGCTGCGCTCTGCGGAAGAGCCGTAAGCGTGTGCACTGGGGCGACGAAAGTTGTTCGTTACGAAAAAAAAGAGGGCGGCTTCAACAGGGCCTTTCTTTTGTGGTTAGACAATGGAAGTTGCCTTGTTGCAAGAGTGCCCTATCGCGTTGCTGGTCCGCGACGATTGATCACGAACTCCGAAGTGGCCACATTGGCTTACAGTAAGGTGAGCTATCTACATACACAACCATTTCCTAGCTCATACTCGTAGTACGCTCGTTCACAAAGATCCCTGTACCCAAAGTCCTTAATTGGAGCGACGATGATTCTTCAATCGGTACGGAATTCATCATCATGGAACATGCTCCGGGAGTACAACTACATGAAAAGTGGCCTTCCATGTCCCCTCACCAACACATGTTGTGCGTAAAGAACGTGAGTCTTATGATGGTCGAGATGGCCAAGCTTGCATTCCCAGTGTACGGAAGTCTGTACTTTGCCGACGCACCCATCGCGCAGAGCCTGAAGTCCGAATTTATTGAAGGTTTTTGTATTGGACCACATTGCGGTCCGCAGTATTGGAACTCCAATGCTGGAGAGACCAGGTTCTATCAAAGAAAGCCCCCAAACAGAGGCCCTTGTAAGTTACCCAATCTACGCACTGAATGCAGTTCAGGCTACTTAAGTACTGATATGAATTACTAGGGATTGATCTTGAGTCATACTGCTCTGGCCTAATCGACACCGGTTTTTCACGCATTCCAAACGATGAAGATCCACAAGCAAACATACTCGCATATCGCGGTTCTGTCCAGGAACATCTCCACCTGTTAGAAGTCAGTAGCAGAGTTATTATGGAATTGGCACAAATCTCAATCATCAGGAATGTGGCGATTCCGACTTTGCTTCATCCAGACATTCACAAACGAAACATTTTCGTTTCTGCGGAGGATCCTTCCCAGATTACCGCAATCATCGACTGGCAATCTACCAGTATCGAGCCGGCATTTGTTTACGCCAACCTTACGCCTGATTTCATCGATCATCCAGCTGCTCGTGTTCGAGTCTTGGAACAGATCATGGAGGGTGAAGCGCCAGATATGAAGCCCTCGAAGGATGTATCGATGAAAGACCCAGAAGTAGAGGCCGCAAGGAAGCGTTACGAAAAGGACGTTTCAGTTTGCCAACAAACATACGAGATTGTTTTGCGAGGCTTCGCGCCGAAACTGTACAATGCAAGAGTCATGGACGAAACACTCCTCCGGCTATTTCGATACTGCGACACATCGTGGAGAGACAGCGCAGCAGCTTTGCGACAAGAGCTTATTGGCATCTCACAAAGATGGACAGAACTCGGTCTTCCTGGCACTTGCCCGTATCAACCGACGCCTGACGAGCTTCGCGAGCACGAGAAGCAATTCGAGGATTTCGAAACCACCCAGCATTTGAGGCTATTTCTGAAGCGCGCGCTGCATGCTGAGTCAGATGGGTGGGTTGCTGCTGATGAATGGCCTGAAAAGGCAGCAGATAATGCAAAGTTATACGGCGAGTTCTTGGAGAGTGTGAAGGAGTCCGGGGGCAGTGAGGAACGTGCTAGAGCTCTTTGGCCGTTTGGTGAGTACGGCAGCGCACGGCAGGAAGAAATCTCTACCCTGTAACTCATGCAATCAAGTAGCTTAGGCGGACACTTTGTTGGCAGCGCTACAGGACTAGTTTATTAACATCTGTATCATTAAAAAGCAAACAACCATGGCCAAGGTATCATCCAAACATGCACGGCCAGCTTCAGGCCCAAGGAAGAAAACGAAGTCTATTGACTAGGTGCAGTTACAGCTCCACGAATCACCAGCATAAGTTAATCGCAATATAAAGTAATTTTTGTTGTTTACGAGCCCTGGGATTGCCAATCACGGTGTAGTGATTTCATCTCTTTAATTGTACTTTCCCCCAACCAAGTATCTTCTGGGATCCACAATGCTCCCGGTCCTTTGGCGAGGTATTCAAATGAGAACATTTCCACTTGGATATAAAGTTCTAAAACAGCCGACGTCGGCATAGTTATCCACCCAAAGTATTTCTGCCTCCCAGACCATCCATTCCTGGGTACATGTCTACCAGGGTCGTAATGTGGCGCTGCAACTTTGATCAGGCTGAGATCAGGATTCTGTAGGACCTGCGCATCGGCCAAAAGGAACAGGCGCCATGGATAATTTTCCTCTGTGTTCATAGGCTGGCCCCCGACACCGTCAAGAAAGGCGAACCGGACATCTTGGAGCGACATTCCGTCCAAGGTAGCAGCATCTGAACGAGCATCCGTTCGAAAATGAAGCAGTGCTTTCGTGACAGCGTCAGGATTCTTGTCGACCTCCTCAAGATACGTGAGACTCTCTCCCACGCCGTCTGTGATTTTCTCGAGCAACGCAGACCATTGCTCATCGGAATCAGGGCCATGATATGTCCGGTATATGGTGAAGCCCCAATAAGTCCAGCCATCGTCTGCTTCGCTAATCTTGTCGTAGTCATTGAGGTCCCCGAGAAAACTTGAAATGCTTCCAGACATAGCGGCGGGGTGTGAGTCGAGTCGCGAGGGTGAATATGAGATATTGGAAGATCGTCGGGCGTAGTTGACAGCGGCGTGATAGTGATCAAGAACCTCGGGTCTATGGAACCATCCTGCACAGTACGTCCACTAAGCAGGAATATCCCTGTCGTCCAAGATCTGCGCTAGCACCGAAGCGCCGTAACGTAAGAGCCAAGCATTAGCGGCAGAGCTACGTGGCAGGGTCCATAAGTTTGTTTATCTACCGCCGTGCCGCTATCCTTTTGCGTAGAATCTTATCTAAAACATTATCCCCTCAAAGCTCTTCACTGATTCCAATATCCAATCCACGCAGCAGAATCTCGGCTATCGCGATGGTCTCGTCGATTCAAAGCATACTCAACGACTGCTACAGATATCCAGATAGAATCATAATGCCAGAGGAAGATCGCGAACAATTCCTACGCCCCTGGGGTTTCATTATCTACCGAACGTTCTATGGACCTGATTCTGACGAAAGCTGGACCAAGTTACTCCAGACTATAACCGCCGGTGTGCGAGCTGGTCTGAACAAAATGGATGGTGCAGAAGACACTGCTGCGACCGCCAAGGTGCTTGGGTTATTCAAACTCGATGCGCGCTCAGACCCAGCCCTATTAGCTGGTTTGACCCTGGAAGATGTGCGAAAGCTCTACTTGGAAGAGGGGCCGGGAGCTCAGCTCATAAATATGGACAACGGTCCATGGCGCCTCTTTCTCTTAGCAGATGCTGAGGTGCTCGGCGAAGCTGACCTTCGTCTGCTCAAAGTCGTAGAAGGCGACTACGATCCCATTGATAGGGTACCAAAAAACACGAGAGGTGGGCCGCAGCGTTACTTTGGATGGCTTACCATGTCACCAACAACAGTTGCGGAGTTATGGGATGAATTGTATTCATACTACTTATGGGAACTCGCCGGTGGGACGACTGGTGAGCCTGGGGCATTTTGGAAACCGGGAAATTGAGGGCAGACTCTCTAACCATTTATTTCTTTCTACTCATCATAATTTCCACGGTTGAAGCTTTTCGGACATAATTCTTGTCATTGCGTGATTACCCTAAACTGTGGACATGCCGGATCAATTCAAATAATTTGTGTTGTGTCGATCCACTCTGGCAGTCTGTTCAAGTACGTTTCCAAGCTGTTTAGTGCGTCGAGGATACTCTGGGCTTCGTCGCCCGTTCTGGTCGCCCAATATTGCCTCATGGTATTGATTGTCCTCTCGCACCAAGTTCTATATTTGGTGACGAACCAGTTGCCGTAGGCATCTTTTGTCCACTCCGACCAGAATTCAGCTATTGTCGTTGGCTCGTTGGGGTGAGCTGCATTGTAGATTGCCTGAGAATGCGCCCATTGGGCGTGGATGTTGTTCGCGATTGCGGCTAGGTTTCCGTTGACGTTTGGTACAGCCAGACGATTCAGGTATAGAAGTACAGCAATAGTACCTCTGATCGCATCCAGCACCTCTTGCGCACCATCATGGGTCCCGCTTTTAGCAGACTTCAACAAGTCTTGTTCCTTCATGGGGTCCCTATTCATCATTATCTATGTTGGGACAAACATGTCAGCTTCCATATGAAGTTTAATATGCTTTTACAGGCATGAGGCCGTGGGAACTTACCGGGGTTTTGTACCTATGAATCTTTCTCTCGAGCCCCACAACAAACACATTGTTCGTCCTAGTCCCGATGATCTCCATAACGCGTCCGTATACAAACCGCAGTCCTGAATCTGTATTTGGGTCGCCGACACCTGGTAGTGGTGGTGCGTTCTGAAGCACGGGTGCGGTTCGTGCTTGTTTGAAATACGAGATTGCTACCCGCGCAGTTGTCGCGGTAGCACCACTGCGAAGTCTATCATCGAAAGTAAGTATCTGAGATCAACTAAAAGAAGCTAAAGGCTAGTTACCTGCCCCGTGAAGCATCGCTCAGGAACGCTGCAATGAGCTGACCATCAATAACATGTTCGACTTCAACATTGTAAGCTGACGCAACTGTTATCAGAGAATAATGTTGCTAGCTTACCTTCAAATTCTCTAGAAGAAGGGAGTTGGTAGTGCGCAATACGCGGGTTACCACAGTCATCAAGGTCATCATAGTCAAGGACCTCGTCCATGGCTGGAATTTCACCATCCATGTCATTGAAAGATTGGTGCTAAGTTTATTAGTTCGCAGTAAAATAAGCCGGATTTCTGAGACTTACGTTTGGTAGAGTCATCGTAATTTCCGCGGTTTCTCCATCAGCTCCTTCAAGAGACGCGGCGTAGTACCGAGCCCTCTTCTTGAGTACAACGTCTCTAGTAGTCTGCTTATTCTCCCCCTGTCCAGGATGGTAATGAAGATGACTATGACGATGGCCATGGTCATGATCGAAGTGCTTCGAGGGTGAAAAGGTTTCGCTGCGTCGCTCCAGCTGTTCATAGGTGCACAATTCCCCTGAGCAGGGAACGTCGTTGCAAACAATGGTTTTCTTAGTTCCGTTCGAGGCGCGGGCGTTCCAGTAATTAAGATTGCACTTAATCTTTTCAGCCAGCGCGATAGGCCCATGTGATGTATACACATTGAGACTTTGTGCATACTTGCGGAAGGATGGGAAATGCAGGTAGCTGTACTTATCTCCCATTGCTTTATTCCAGATCTCCTGCATCGAATCAAGCATTGCACCTCCAGCGCTGTTCGTAAGCAGCAGAAGTAAAATTTGCCCAGTAATGTCGTATGGCCATTTCTCTGCTCTCTTGATCAAGGAGGGCGAGCTGCGTTTTGTGAAAGGTTCGGGAACCTCGCATCTCGGGTTCTTCAGGTATTCCTCAAGAGAGTTACGATACTCATTTAGCTTTGGGTTCTCGACCTGAATGATGTCCGTCATGTGCGGCACACAGCAAAGTGCTCGATAGGAAAAATTGGCGCAATCCTTGTCGTAGCCCATTCCTATTCGTACGCGATTGTTGGGACAACCACTCAGACACCAATTTGCGGGGGCGCCAGGAAGCATGGTACCAACTCCTGCATACCAGATACAGTCTGAGAACCGTTCTTCAGAGTTGCTGTCGTCATAGCAGAACTTGCGTTCGTTTGGCGGGTCTTTTGGCAAGACCTGTCCTTTGTAGTAGGCATTACAGATAGCTTGGCCACTACCTGCGTTTGCACTTCCAAGGAGGGTACTCTTCTTGGAGTCTCCGGATGGACACGATGATGTTTCCTCGCACATGGGGTATTTCCCCCATTCGCCCTTGGTGTAAAGTTTCATGCTTTTGTAATTGGCACTACAGCAAGCCGATTGGTATGTGCCCGCCTTTTTGCAGTTTTTGTTGTACGATCCAATCTCAACCATATCTTTCGGACAAGTCGAGTCGCAGTTCCCGTTCTTCTGTGTATACCAACCACAACTTGGTTGGGATGAACTCGCGGGACAGCAGAAGTTATTGACTCCCTTCGGACCGCAGCTAGACTCATCGTACATGTACTCGTCTTGCTTGGCTCGTTCATCGCTGCGTTTAATATGTACCCATCCCGAAGGACAGCCTGTCCCATGTTAGCGTATGTTATTGAATCACTTTGTGACACTGCAGGGGGTGAACGCAATTAGATGCTTGTCTACTTACTATCTCCACAATTGGTCCATTTGCATTGGTCTTGAGAGACTTCCAGGTTCTCGAAAGCGTTGCCTGACCCATCGGTCATTGGCAGCGACGAGATCTTGCGGTTTGCCGCCTTGGCGAGAGCTTTGTGATATTTAGCGTCTTTCGTATCGTGGCTGATCGCCCAAACCATCAAACCTCCCAGACACAAGGTCTGAGCATACTCAGATTTCATTGTGAGCGTCTCTTCATCGTCATATGCAACCCATTGGTTGCCCCAGGTAGCGACCTTTACGGCTTCCTTCTTGTAGAGAATCGGGTTGACACCCTTTTCCTTGATTATATCGTCGATTTCTGAATTTAGAAGGATGCCGACTTCCCGACTACATTTACCTTTCTGAGCACCGGATTCATACGCGCATCCGGGCGTACTGCAGGTCTCGCTCGTCATGGAGAATGCACGACCGTAGAAAGCAAGACCTAAAACCACTTTCGTTGGGTCGACGTCATTTCTCCAGAGCAGATCCATAGCGAGATCAACCTCCGTTAAGTTGGTATGCGAATTGAGCGACGCGCCTGTCCATTTGTTGCCTTTATCCCAGGTGCCTTGGGAGACAGTCAGCAGGTTATAACTTAGAGCACACAAGCCTTTTGGGACAAGTACGCACCATGCAAATCATAGGACATGATATTAAACCAATCAACAGATTTGACCTGCCAATTCGTTAGCTGCGGAAGACAGGATGCAAGACATACGTGGAGACGTACGAGGCTGGACAGGTCAAAATGCTGAAGATACCAATACGACGCCGGCAGAGTTATCGTTAGTCCCTTTTTAGCGCTTGAAAGCGTCTCCTTCAGGCGTTTCATGAATTTCGGGAAGTTGTCAAAGTCGACTGATCGGCCCGACCGATCATCAGCCACCGGATATTCCCTGTTCAGTGGCAACACCCATCAGCTTGAGCACGGAATTTGCACTCGAGGAATCGTACCAGTCTAGATCGATGCCATCGAAACCATATGTCGACATGAAAGCTAACAATGACTCCATGAAGACTTTCTGTCTTGGCACGGATGCGGCGAGGTCCGAGAAGGTAGTAGCCGTCGGGCCAGGGTCATTGAAAGCCCAACCACCGACAGCTATATAGACCTTGAGGTTTGGATCCTGCTGCTTCAAAAGAACCAAGCGCTTATAGATATTGATGTCTCCTTCAGAAGAAGGAGCTATCTTGAAAGTCTTCGGATCGATGACTGCAAAGGCGAAGTTAATGTGAGTGTAAACCCCAATTGGGATCTGTTCAGGCCAGAAGACGTTACACGGACGGCTCTTAGCCCAACCTTCGTAATACCCAACTACAACGGCATTGCCATTGTCTTTTGCGCATGTCTTATGAGTGACTTTCTTGTCGCCACAAAAGTCGTCTGTCGTCTGGCCTTTGTGTGAGCGGAAGCAGAAAGCGCTTGAGGGGCCTTAATACTTACACCACAATAACCATCCTTGGAACAACAAACGTTCAGAGGACATTTATCGCGCTCTGCCCACTCTGCTCCAAACCCGGGGTTGCATTGAGACTTTCTATCACAGTCTGACACGCAAGTATCACCACAGACTGCAACGTTAGTTCGAGAGATTCACACCACTGAACACCGAAAGACTCACAGTTGGGGCCAAACCCACACCATCCGTTCGAATTGCAGCAACCGTTTGCACAAGGTCCAGTGTCACATCGTTGAGCCAGACACAAGAAAGCACATGATAATGTAATGAGAAGAAATCGGACAAGCAACATCTTGGATGAATGATGAATTCGAGAGTACCATGGAAAGTACCTTAAGTAATAGGAATGTTTTGCAAAGTTCGAGTATCCCTCAGCAGCGTGAACCGATTTTGAGGCTATTTCACACCCTTTCTGGAAGCTGTTTTGGGTTCTTTGAGAATTGCATAGTGAATCTGGCCCTTGTCTTGGTTGGTACGCTACCCGCAACCCCTGGACAACGCCCCTATAATCCTCTCTACAGCTCTGTAGACAGTTTTGGTAGATTAGTATCACCAAAGCTTTCCAAAATACCGCCACAAGCGAGAGTTCAATTCACTCGTGAGAAACTGATGCCTGGTCGCATGGTTTCCGTGACTCACGCATGAGTCCAAATGCGTGGAAAGCTTCCGGCTACATGCAATACGCGCAAGAGTTATTGCGGCACAGTCATTAAGTTCCGAATAATTCGGAGCTTGCCCAAAGTTTACATGCGACCCAAAAAAAATGATTGCGGCACAGTTCTTAGTTGTCATAAAAAGGTGGGTAGGCTGACTCGGCTCGGTCCTAACAGCTACTAATGCAGGCTCCTGACGGAATGCTCGCTTGGCCCAACCCGCTCGGTCCAACCCGTTCGGCCTCACCCGATATTGGGCTATGAACCCTGATGGGCTTAATGCCCCATCTACACAGATGTTTGCTTCGAAATCATGCCACCATGCTTACCTTTACAACCATTCACCGATGTCGCTAGAGTTTTCCAAGCGTACCTACCCATAAGCGAGAGTAACATCAAGAATCTTTTGCCCCATCGTGATGCTACGCCAAGTCCTGTAGCCAAGTGGCACAGCAACTATGTCGCGGAAATTGCTTCTGCGCACGCCGCTCCAAATCGACAAAGACTTCACCGGTTGTGGATGCAAGTATCACATTCATATCCACCTGACATCTAGACAACATGTAAATGAGTTTTCGTGGAAGCCTAGATCACTAGTGGCTTGTCATGGTCGATGTTCCATGCTTTCTGGCGTACGCAAATAGATCGAAGCGATTAGCAATAGTGCTCCGTCACGATGTGCAAGTACTTGCGAGGTCTATCGTACCCATTTCCGGTTCCGAGCTGCCGCCTGTATCGCTATACCTCCACGTAATATCATCCAATATTGTCCAGAGCGGGATGGACACAAGGAACACCCATACCAACCGCCTAACATGCAGCCTCGCGAAGCGGCCTTGAAGGTTTATTGCAGTCGATATTCTGACTAGGATCTAGGCATCGACCGTAAAAGACCATAGTCTCTTTTTTTTCGCGGAAGTGAACCAATGCGGCAAGGGCAGCAATACGCAAATCAAAGTCTACCAGCCGAGAGCGTTGCTATGTGTGTGCCTGGACCACATTTAGAGAATGAGTGGGTCCTGTGTCCTCAGGCCATCGATTGGGACGAGTGTAGTTTGCTTGATCAGTCTGAACCTTTGGTGACTCATGATCCCTTCAACTACAACTCAGAATACTTCATCATCTTTTTCTGATGAAAATATTTCTCGTCAGTCCTGAATTGTGACAGGAAATCATGATTGCATTTACCAGCTCTATCACATTCGCCCTCGTCCCTCTGTTCTTGGGCGCCAACCCCGTCGACGCACAATTTTCGGTGTATGATAGCTCTTCTCTCGATAATAGCTTGGGAGACGGCTGTATCCAAGCTCTGTCAGCAACGATCGATTGCTCACCCTTTGTCCAAACATTCCAGCAGCTCTCCTACCGCACCGACCTGGATGTGGAGTTGACAGACAGCATCTGCACTGCTGATTGCTTGGGTTCCCTCAAGTCATGGTTTGACACAGTCAGCGTACAGTGTTCAGGCAAGACTGTTAGCGGTGGACGCCCTACCAGGTTCGGCGGATACATGTGGGCAGGGTATAATGAGACTTGCGTCCGCAGTCCTCGACCACCGCGCGCTTATTGCAACAGTAGGAGAACCACTCCAAAAACCTCAATGCCCCAGACGTTTGCTGACGAGATGATACGTAGATATTATTGCAGATTTCACAATTGTGTCCAGCATTCAAGAAATGCCTCAGTCAGAATTGTGCCACACATGTCACGTTCGCCGGCTCGCACTGATGCAAGCATCTCAGTATTCCATTTACGATGAGAATTACAAGAAGCAGCTGGAGTACATCTATACTCAATGTGGGCTAAAAGGTCCTACGGATATACCACCACCTCTCGACGAAGAAGAGCCCGTAACCCCGCCATATTGTCTGAGTGGCAAGCGATACACGACTACAGGGAGTGACACTTGCGAGTCGATCGCAAACAGTAGTAGTGTCTCTGCTGCGTATCTATATATGGGTAATCAAGACCTGCTGAAGGACTGCTCGCAAATCAGTTCGGGTTTGAGTGCTTGTTTGCCACTCACTTGTATAACGCACTACGTGCAGCCCTCAGACACCTGCTTCTCTATCGAAAGATCACTCAACCTTGAGTACGACTCGGTTCAGCGCTACAACTCCTGGGTGAATGGCGGATGCACCAACTTACAATCGGCCACAGACTTCTATGGGAAGGTGATATGTGTATCTCCTCAAGGTGGCACATTCGCGAATCCCGTAACAATACCAGGATGGAACCCTACACCAGCACCGGCCGATGGACACACGAACCAAAAGGTTTCACCACCAGATGGTGTAAAGGTCGCGGAAGGAACAACAACGCAGTGTGGTAGATGGCACGTCGTTGCAGCCGGAGACTCATGTGCAATGATTTGCGTCGCAAACAAGATCGAGACTGGGTTATTTCATGAAGTCAATCCTTCATTAGCTAACGGCACTGAATGCGACTCCTCGCTCGAAGTGCTAACAGCTCTTTGTGCGGGCCCGACATATTCATGGAACAGTCGAACGGACAGCACTTCAGTCAAGCTCTAGTTAGATCCTCAATAGTCCATGTATGAAACTTCGGTGGCTATGTCATGGAACCTATCCGTCTTTTGTAACATATGCTTATACCATACGTCTTCAAGCAGTTTGGGCGTGTATTCGTTTTTTGCATTGACCTGGAATATCCACAGCATTGAGTCACGACCAACTCAGCAGATACAGCTGATTATGACCACACTATTCCCATTCGATCGAGAGAGTTGTCGGAAAATTGCCACATGAACACTCACATGATTATCTTAGTGAAAGTTTGGATATTCAGCACATGCATGTGGTCACATTTCCCTCATCCATGTCTCGTCATTGATGTCTAGATACATGTGGTGTAGGCTAGGAATGATGACTTGCCGACGTCTACGTTGCCGAATAATACTGCAATCGCGCCGAGCATATGGCTCTATACATCTGAATGATATCCGCTGCGCTTGCTCACCGGACGAGTATTTTGAATGAAAGGCGAAGGCTGTTTGGGTGCAAGTCCGGGATGGGTCTCATTGCTCACCGACATTAGCAGAAAATTTTCCCTACATGAGCCGAATGAACGAAGACATTTCTAGCCAGTCTTTCCGCTGTGCGTCGCACATTGCATGGTATGGCGAACACGCACGGACAACACGGTCTCCTTCAAACGGATTCCTGTAGTTAGGTAGCGTACGTATGTATTTGGCGTGGCAAGAATAACTGGGGATCAATCTTAGTAGAAAGATTAGGCGCCGGACAAATACACTCGTCTTGTCCTAGTCTCCGAACGCGCGGCAACGGTCCGTTCTACATGCTGCAAGCCAGTGCACCTACAGGCTTTGCGTGTAGCCGCCAGATCCTGACTAGATATATACCTTCCCAATTGGTTTTTCACCATCTGTGCGTTGGTCCGTGATTTAGTGTTTCCACTGAGGCACAGCAAGCTTACTGGGCATTGCTTGGCAAGCCTCCAGGTTCGAGTGACCATGCTGGTAGTATAGTGCGTTCAGTAGCGGATTTCTTACTCGCATGAATGCTCAGGGCCTTCTGTCGCGAGAGATACGAATTTGGTTGCTAAAGCTCTCTAAAGAGACCACACTGCGTTGCGTAGACTCGTAGCTGTATGCCTCGAATGTGTATATAAATTGTGCAAATTGGCACATTGGAGCCGCTTCAGGCGCCATCTTAAACATAGCGTGCTTCACTTCATGCAATGCGTTTTCACTCGTTTCTCGTCCTTGGTGCCATTTCCCTTACTTCGAGTACTGCATATGCCTCCTCAAGTACGGAGGCAACTCACGGCCATCGCCGCTCGTTGAGCAGGCGTCAGGATGGACCTATTGCGCCCGATACGGCTACAGACTGTACATACTACGAAATGGCGCGTGACAGCTCCATGAACTGTGGGTTCTTTGAGCAGGATTGGGGTTTAACGCATGAGCAGTTTGTCGACTACGTAAAGTTTTAGCCATGCACAAGACTCTAAATATCACGACTAATTTTCTGACAGAACCCGAGCGTGAAGAACGATTGCAGTGGTATAATAGTAGGCAACTCCTACTGTGTTGAAGTCAACAACGGACTCCCTCGGCCACCCACGAACAAACCCACATCCACCTCGACCTCCATTCGACCATCTGCAACTGCGAGCAAGAAGCCCAGTCCCACACAGCCAGGTCTTATCGATTCTTGTACGGATTTTTACTTCGCCGTGGACAGCGACCGATGTGATTCCATTGTCGCGAAGTACAGCACCTTCACATACGATGATTTTGTCAAATGGAACCCCGCGGTGGGCTCAAGCTGTGGTGGTATCTGGGCTCAGACGTGGTATTGCGTTGCAGTACCGGGCACGCCGACAGTGCGGCCCTCACTTACATCAGCCACGCCTACTCCCACCGGGGCCGGAAAGCCCAGTCCTACCCGAGAAGGCATGGTCGATACTTGTAACAAGTTCCATTTCGTTGCTGAGAATGAGAACTGTGACACCCTCATCAAGATGTATGGTACTTTTACGTTTGAAGAATTCCTGAAATGGAACCCCGCGGTGGGCTCGAATTGCGGTGGCCTTTGGAAGTCGACGTACTTCTGCGTGGGTGTTCCAACTGCAGCGACCACCGCCAAACCTACGATAACTCGGTCGACATTCGCGACGAGTACACGGCCTTCAACTTCAACCTTTACGATGGCTTGCATTCTACAATTCGTTAATGGACAGTACTACTGCGTTGGTAAGAGAGCCATCCCCCTCAGTGATATATGGACCCGAGAAATGCTAAATGGCATACAGAAGATCCGAAGTCCTGTAATCCTAATGCTCCAGAAAACCCACAGCCTTCCCCGATTTGCGGCTGCAAGAGATGGCATAAGGTGGCAGACAAGGATAATTGCGACACAATCATCAAGCGATACTCTATCTCAAGGGCGGATTTCAATAGTTGGAACTCTAAAATTAATGATGGTGGGGATTGCAAGACCTTGTGGCTTGGTTACAATGTCTGCGTTGGTATCAAATAACGTACGCAGGCTCATTGCATTACACTACATGCTTGAGCTTCCGCTTTTTGAAGGATGAATGGCACAGCATACGGTGCGGATGTTGTACTGGCGTAATAATAATGAAATGAGTGGGCACGGGGAAAGGTGTGGCTCCATTCTGAGGATGCATAATGTTTTGGAGAAGAATGGTGAGAGTGAAGGCATGGAGGTAACAGACTTCAAACTGTGAGATGTGTCTTGAACAATGAGGGCGGTATAAATGAGTGAGAGTCAGTGCCAATTAATGAAATGTGTGAGGCGTCTAAAGCATGTGATTTTTCCGTGCTTTAGAATATGCGGTGATGAAAATGGCCAGCACATTGGTGTCTGCGTTTCACCCGAGCTTTGAGTTCTCCAGCCAATGCACTCTCAATCAGCGCACACATTGTCCAAATAGACAATCCACTCAAAGTTCAATTCGCATATGGTATCCTGAAGAAAATCTACTTCTCGTGGACACGAGACCGCATCGCAGCCTCATACAATCTCATTAGCCATACCCGCCAGCACACCCGCTCCAATAATTCCACCGTCTAGAGCTTCTCTAAGAACCACTCGCTTATCCGCATTTGCCCTCGATCCTTTCTTGACGAGTATATCTATCCAATATTGACAGGTTTGAAGCCATTGTGGGTATTGCGAGATGGTGCCTCCTGCATATGCAATCACCAGCTCTTCGGTATTTGAAGTTCCAGCAAGGGCGGAGCCGTTGGTCGCTTCTTGTGCCCCGTCGATGTGTATGTCTCCTACGCAGTCGAGCAGGCCTATACATGCTGCGGCGATGAGCGCTGAGGATCGTTGTTGGACGGAGTATGCTATGATTCGTAGTAGTTCGACTCTCTCCAGTGTCCAGAACGCTGATGATGATGCGGGGTATTCCTTTTCGAGCCTTTTAGCCACGTCTTCGAGCTCTAATCGTGCCACCACTTCTGACAGAAATCTCGTTGGTAAAGCATTCCTGTCTCGGAGGCGGGGAGGTATGTCTGCTTCTGGTGCGACGTCTAGATATACCAATCTGACGATCTCGCCCAGGTAGCGGCCAGCAGTCATGTATTCGAATGGTTGGAAGCCCGGCGCATCGCTGCTCGCATCGAGTGCTAAATCCCATAGAGTTTTGATGCCCAGTTCCACCAGCGGTTTGTCTGTTCCACGTATCGTCCACTCCGTATTAACGACAACCATGTCTACTGCATCAGGGTCCGGCAGATCTTTCCTTTTCGCAGGAAGCAGGCTGTCCAACTTCATCGGTACTGTGGCGTTTGTGCCTGTTCCAACGATGAGTCCCATCGCGACTCGACTGTTTGGTGCTGCTTTTACTGCATACGCTAATGATGCAAAAGTGGCTACTGTGTCGTTGGTGATGGCGGCAACCTTTATCCTCGGGAGCGGAGAACGTTTTTTGCTCGCATGATCACTTTCCAAATGACCGTTGGTATGCGTTTCCGCGCAATGTCGCGCATACCCGGCAAGAAGCATTTTACCAAGGTTGAGGTCTGATGTGATGGCAAAGCCTTTCCCCATGGGCAGTAATGTGGCCTCTGAGAGGCTTGTTTGTCTACGTGCTGTTAGTCAGCTGACCTTCAGGGTACTCGTAGTAGTACTCACGCCATGGGAAAACTGAATGTAACGCCCAACAAGATCTCATCACCGAATAGCGCCTCTAATGCAGAAGCTGCTCTATTCGCTTCGATGGCTTCAATCAAAACTTCGGCAATACAATCTCCGATCCATGCGAATAAGTCTTCAGCGTTGTCCATCTTCAGGTGCTCCTCGATTGACCAATTCCTGTCATGACTCCTCTTAACTTTCGCAAAGACATTGTCCCTGTCGTCTTCTTCACGCCGCCCATTCAAGTGGTCATCCAGGTCTCCAACCAGCTCTATCAAGCCCACGCGAAGATTAGTGCCGCCAACATCGATACTCAGGAACTTTCCCTTCTCTTTTCCAGTCGGTAAGGCCGTCACGGGCGTGACAAGAAAATGTTCCGTTGATCTGAGTGCAAGGTCGGTGTATGTCGCCGAGAATCGTGACGCTAGATCCAGTAGTGTGTCCGTGTTAATGAAACCAGACAATGCTTCGATAGCTTCAACAGACGCCCCACGATCTCCTGGCGATCGACGGTGACTAGCCATCACGAACAGGTCTGGATCCTGAGAAGAAGAGTCGAGAATAAGACACGAGGCTTGAACTCGTCGAAAGTCGAAAGGAGAAACTAATAATAACGGATCACTAGCTCGAGCCAGTAAGGCTGCGGGTAAAGGCTATTTTGGGAAGTGAGTAGGTTCGAGAGCGGGTACCTGGCATATCGACAGGGGACTAACGAAGACCAGACCAAATATCATCTATGGAGAAAGTGTGGTTATGGCATCGTATGTCGCCCAGCACAATTGGTGTACTCAGAGTCGTGTGGGACTTGTGTCGCTGTGCCGTCATCGGCGCGCGCGCTCAACTAAGGAGCACCAGCATCTCGAGTCGCGGATTCGCATCATTTCGAGCCGACTTGGTCCGTGTTGGGCCTAGTGTCTCTTGCACGTGGAAACAACATTCGGCTGCGAAACAACTCATATGAAGGGACTGCGACAGCGAACTTCGAGTCAAGTGCAAGCATCGCACAGGTCTGAACTGGCCTTCATCTAAATACGAGATTCTCGGCGTCCTCCAACCGGACCCCGCTGACTGAACCCGGATACTTGGATCTTCATTGCGACACTAACACACGCGTTATCAGTCATCCACTAGGCGCCTTCGGCTCATCATTCCTCTATACGACAAGAGCTGAGAACGTTCCCAGCCATCACCTGAGCTAGCTGGCCCAGCATAAAATCGTACATAAGCCTACCATGGCCGCCGAGCAGCCTGCTCTTGATGCCAAAGTGCCCCTCCTCCCCTCCTCCACCCCCCGGGACGATGCGGTGAACGACGCCGCGAAGATGCGACAGACGCGCAAATCGAAATTCCAGGTCGCTGCGTTTGCGATCCTCTTGGCAATCTTCTGGTTGGCGAGGACGTGGACTTGTGAGCACGAGCATGAGCAGGAGCACAACGAGGCGCACCTAAAGGTGCCGCTCGAGGTACATATAATGTGAGTCCGCCCCTACACGCCACCATCCGAGCGCATCTGATCGGGAATGAACTACAGGTCTAAATGCCCCGACGCGCGCGACTGCCTCAAGGAACTCGTCGTTCCCGCCATGTCCGACGTATCCGACAAGGTCGATTTCCGGCTGAGCTTCATCGGCAAGCTCACCGACGACGACGGCGTGGAGTGCATGCACGGCCAGACGGAATGTCTTGGCAATATCCTCATGCTGTGTGCTGCGGCGGAATACCCCGACCCGAAATCATACTTGGGCTTCTCGAATTGCTTGATCAACGATTATCAGGAGATACCGAATCAGAGCTTGATTGAGGATTGCGCGCTGGAACATGGCTTGGACTTTGATACGCTGAATCAGTGTATGAGTAAGGATACCGGCGCGTATGGCATGGGGCTGTTGAGGGATAGTGTCAAGCGCAGCTCGGACGTCGGCGTCACTACAAGCTGTACCGTGAGGCTCGACGACAAGGTCCGGTGTGTCTATGATGGCGGAGAGTGGCGGGACTGCGATGACGGGTCGAAGCCGGAAGACTTGGTTCGCGACATCAACCGTTTATACGACGAAGCACAAGGATGGACCTATTAGCTACTCACATGCATCACTTTTAGGCGTTTGGGGCATAGTTCACAGGCAGATTGATACCCGAGACTGGTCGTTGTTTTAAGAATATCATCGGATACCTCTAGTATCTACATTAAATCGTAATGTCAAACTCCCGCAATGCAGATTCCCAACCCAATGCAAACTCCGAGCTGTAAACAGAATCCCATCCCACCACCCTCACTGAAACTCGCCAAACTCTCCATCGTCAAACCCCAAATCCTCCGCCGTCTGTTTCGGCGGCTCAAAGCCCTGCCGACTTCTCCTCCTCTCCTCCTTCACGCTCTTCGCGCTCGGCGGCGGAGGCAAGAACCCACCCCCGCTCCCTGGCGGCGGCTTTATACTAAACAACGCATCCTGTTCACTCTTCTGCTCGCCGGGGCTCTTATCTGCCTCGGGCCTCGCTCTCCTGCCCTTCAAGCCTCCCAGATTTATCGAAATCGTCTCGCCCTCCTTGAGACTGAAGTCGCGCTTGGGCTCCTCGGCTTCCTTCTTCTGCTTGACGACCGCGGGATTCGCCTCGAAGCCCAACACGCGCCGCGCATCCTGCAATGCGATCCGCTGAAGTCGAATGCCTCGGAGCGCTCTTCGAAGCCCATGCCCAGCACGGCTTTGCGGCCCTCGCCGACGACGGTGATGGCGAAGAAGCGGCTGCTGTCGAGCGCTTGTTCGACGATGCGCTCGCTGGTGTATGGCGCGGCGGCGAAGAGGTCGCCGTTCTTCGGGTCTTCGAGGAGTAGGGTGGTGCTGACCTTTTCATCTGCATCCTCGCGCTCCGAGGGTATCGATGTCTCGACGACGCGCAGGCGCGCGGTGAAGATTTGCAGTCTGTTGTTGTCGGCGGTCCATGTCGACGCTTGGTAGCCCTTTGTCGACGTTGCGGGCGGGATTTGGTAGATGTGCACTTTGGGCGCGAGGTAGAGGATTCGTTGGATGGCGTTTGCGGGGAGCGCTTGCCCGGTTGTTGGGTCGATGTTCATGGTGTCCGAATCAATTCGAGATTTTTCCACAAGTGATTATTCTGCTTGATCCGTCGGGGTGAAATAATTCAGAAGATATTCGCGTTCGGAGATACCAGAGATACAAATTTGGCGGGGTAGCTTTCCTTCGAACTTCAACGATTTCGGGGAGATCAGGGCGGCCAGATGAGGGGTGATTCCGATCAAGGAGGGCGCTGCGGAGATACGGCCTTACTCGCAACACAAAGTGCCTTGTGGGCGTGGGAAGCCATGGCTGCGAATCTTTGTGCCGGCGGTGATGCGCTGGCAAATGCAGGGTCTTTTGGAGCCCATTCCCCGCCATTCCATCGAGGAGAGCTAGATCGTAACGTGACCGACAGTTCATGCGGGTCATGCGCGAATCAGCCTTGCTAGACGGTCGTAGCGCGCGCTCCACGATGCGAGTGGAGCAGGCGGGTGTCAGATCCATTACTCGCTCTCTCATACGTAGGAGAAGCGCGGAGACCAGATTGAGGGCAATGTGGAGACTGGCAGGAACAGCGATGGAATACTTTCTTTTGGATGCGGTGTACATTAAACTTTCCTTGCTATTCTCTAGCAATCTCGACTCGTGGGATGTCAGGAGACTGCTGATGGGCCCTACTGGTCCAAATAATGTTCCAAGGTTGTTGACACTTTGTCCAGGCTTGACTCGGGTCACCAACTCGGCTCTCGCGTGTTTCCAGATATAGAAAAACAAAAGTTACTACATAGCCTAACGAGCTAAGTTTAATAACTCAAGGGCAATTCATGTACAAGAAAGATCGAAATGATCTGGAAGTATGCGCTCTATATGTACGTGTAGCAGAAAGGTCCGCCCATGGTGCTCATGGTCTCTCCAACAGTAATGTTACCTGGATACGCGTTACCCAAAGTCATCGTATCACTAAGTTTCGTAGCTGGAGCAGTAGGGTCACCGAGCGCAATGGTGCCGTAGATTTCGTTCGTACGATTCGCAGGGTTCATGTTCTGCCAGGTCCACCACACGCGGTCGATCTGGGAGTGGTGGAAATAGAACCTAGGCTTATTAACACAACAATCTTTCGGGCATAAGGTATTGTGCCGCCTACCAAGGGTCTCCGGGAGAAGCAAGAAAGTCAGAACCTGGGTCACCGCCGATCGTGAAATGACCAGCGGTGTGGACGCCCATGAAGTTGTTCGAGAAGGCGTTCTGGCCACCTTGCATGTCGAACCAGAAGGTCTTCATGTCCGGGCTGTTGAGTAGTTTGGTTACCATCTCATCATTAGTCCACTGGCTCGATGTCCACGCTGAAATGTCGCGCTTCAAGCAGCGCTGATTCGATCCTAGACCGAAATTGGGGTCGGTGAAGTTCGTGATGGGGTTCGGGGGACTGCATGTCACGCCCGTGAAAAGTGGACCAAGATTCACGCTCCAATCTTTCAAGGGCCCTGAAGTTACACAACCACCCCCAGATCCTTTCGGGATGTTGATCAATGGGGCTTCGTTGGTGGGAATGCCGTAGAAGGTCTGGTTCTGGCACCCGGAAACACCATTGCCACCTAGCGAGGTCATGCTGCCATCGAGAGCAGGAGATTTGTTTGGGTTATCGGCCCAGCGTGGCCAATTGTAGTAGCTATTGTATGGTGAGCACTGGGCAGAAATTAGTTCCGACCGGGCAGTACGTACGGGTGGTAGCCTTTATAGCCGCACTCGTTGCGCAGAGTTTGCTCGTAGGCGTAAGTGAACCAGCGGTGCCAAGGAAGAAAGTTGCCAGTGTTATGTATCTGATAATAACATCAGTTGGGGCGCATGCTAACACATCATCGTGGCTTACAAAGAAGGTTTGCTTGATGTGGGTGGCAACAAAATCATCGTAGCGATTCTTACAACCCGGGCACTCGGACTTGGGAGTCTTGGGTGGTAGTTTCGCGATACACAGTACTGCGGAAATGTAGTTATTCTTCTCAGAGGTTGAGAACGAAGACCTAGAACGGTGAGCATGTTGTTGTGTTTTTGGTCGAGAAATGTACCATTCGCGTCTCACAACAATGTTCGAGGGATTGCACTTCTTCCATTGAGTACCTTTCTGGTTAGCTTGGTAGGTTTGCTGGTTGAGACCGGCATCGCGTGCGTAGAGATCAGCAGACAGAATCTTTCCCCTGAAGGTGATAGCAGAGATATCGTCTCTCTTATCGAATGAGGAAGAAAATCGATCTCCCAATGCTGGGATTGCGCTGGCAATGGTTATGGGAACCACTGCAAGAATTACAGCCGTGCGCATGACTGGCCTACCCTGATTGGACTTGGTCGTAGAAGGTTTCAGTAACCTGATGGATAGAAGAAAACAGCCAGTGACTGTAGGGAAGCTGGGGGCTTGAAAAAAGTTCCGAGAGGAAACGGAATAACGAAGTGAGGTTGAGGAAAATAAAAACGTTGTTTTATAGTAGTACGACAAAACGTGGCAAACGAGGACTGCCTTACTTTGAGGCTGCATGAGCCGCTCACGTACTCACCGGCCGGGTGGCGCTTGATCTCTTTTTACGCCCTGCTACTAACAGAACAGCCTGATCTTGCTGCTGTCATGATGTGCTCTTACAGACACGGTTGGTTCGAACACTCCGTACTGCGGTTGAGTGAAGGAAAATAGCGTCTAGATCTGTAAGAAACTGTAGTCTCGGTTTGCAATATTCTTCACGAACACAACCTGCTTCCTATGCCACATCAACTTTTGGAAAGGCTGCAGGTGGGTCTGGCAGCGAATGGCGCCCGTAGAGAGATTGAGAATTTTTAACAGGGCGGTTCCCGTGAGTCTCGGCTCGTATAATGCATCGGTGAACGCTGCAGGGCGTAGCGAAGCGAGATACAGTTCTTGATATGATAGCCAAACATTGGATGCCACTGTACCGGGTGCATCGCTTGGAACTTCTTCATGCTCGAAAAGCTTTGCGATTCGTGGAGAACAACGGGGTCGCGTTCGAATTCTTGGAGAAGGAATCTTGACCATGCTTAGCTACCGAAGCGTCTAGGCAGATTCGTTCGACCAACAATGAGCTTCTATGCGAATTGACGCATAGCACTTCCAGCCGTCGAAAGGGAATCGCAGGACAGAGTAGCTGTGAGCCACAGGTCCGATGTGCTCTCAAAGTATTGATGTGACCAGACAACAAACAGCCTAATCTCTTGCTTATATGCTGGGATAGAAGTTCCAAATGCATATGCAACACCGCCTGTTGTGAGGATGGAGATCGCTGTTGCCAGATGAAGAAGAACGGGTGGTACGGGGCAGAACGGCCCGGACCCTTTGATGACGCAGTCGGAACAATCAATCGTTGAACCCGCTTCCAATCAGCGTTTTCTTCACTCTTCCCGCGCGCTACTGTCACATTCCGTTCCCACGGTCATTGTCATTGTTCCTGCAATCGAGCATTCTTTTCTGTCGCATCGTCTCGGTCATCGCAATCCTCTTGGGCACTCTACGGGCCCATCAGCTCCTGCAACTAGAAACTCACATTGTGAAGTGAAAGGGTGCAAGATGCACGACATCTACAGTGTGGCGAGCGCACATTATACTATGAAGTATACAGCAATCTGCACATGGTCGGGCTCTGCGCAATAGATGCATCTGCGTGCATCACGTCCACAAAACAGGTCGCTGGAATGTGACAAGCAAACCTTGTTCTGTTTTGGACCCAGCGTCCCCCCATGTTTCAGATTCCCGCGCCCGTCGATCTAGAAACCATGCTGCCTTCTAAGCCTCAAAAAGACTTCGGGCACAGACAGATGCGAGTCTTGCTGCACTCGCCTTCAGCCGTCAGCGACAATGACCTAGCTTACACCACTCGTCCATCTCCGAAGCGAAGTCAGCCGCTGCTAGCTTCAAGATACAACGCAGGTGGTGACCGCCTTGAGAATTCTCACCGGAAACCTAACGGAGAGACGTCCGTCCAGTGGTGTTGATTCGATCCAGACACGAGAGTAGTACGCTACACTCTACCAGCAATTCCCGGCTTGCCAGGAACTTTCAGCAACGACGCTTCCCCTCAATCCACGTCACGCAAAAGTTTATCTTCGCTTCAGGTTGCGCCCGTGTATTGTAGCCATGGAGCTATTCTCCCGCACGCGAATAGAGTCTTGCATGTCAAAGCCACATCGGAACGCCATTGGACGAAAGCTATGAATCAGCGCACCTTCCACTGCCACTGTTATCTGCTTGATATTAACGTTTGCCGCTATACGTACACGAACAAGTATGCGCCCACAACGTAGGATGTCAAATTCTGACAAGGACGCTGATCGGGCCCTGGTACTTGCACACGCTGGTGAAAGGGATCATTATTTACATCCCAAAAGGATGATCTTAAGGATCCCTTGAGCCAGTCCTGGCCGTGGGGTGCTGTTATTCAATTCATTGTATACTTGCAGGACCCACCGTTCGACCCGGCCTGCAACAGTATGGATCATCGCTCCTTGGTCCCGCGACAATACTTGGGTACCCCACTGCCTCTGCAGCCGCCAGAGTATATGGCAGAAAACCATGCTCCGCACTTGCGGGCGATAGAAGGATACTTGTTCACACTGTCAATGAGCGTCATCTTGATGCGGCTTTATATCAGGATATTTATACTCAAAAAGTTTGGATGGGATGGTAAGTGCAGAACAATCTTTGAGACATGCAAGAGCAAAGTGCTGACTGCGTCAATTCGTAGATTGGATGATGGTCGCATCAGGAGTATGTCCCAACAACACCGCGCCCAGTGTGTTACTGTTTACCAAACCCATGCTTACACTCTAGCCGCTAGGTCATGTGCATAATATGCTTTGCGATTTTCATCCACGTAACCCACCTGGGACTTGGGAGGCATATTGAAGCATTTCCGCCAGAGGTAAAGATGTTTAGCGCGAAGGCATACGATTCAAATGACTAACTCGAAACTAGAACTTCCTCCCTTTCTTCAGGATCATGTATTTCTATTCGATCGCGATCATCCTTGCCTACAGCTTCATTAAGCTATCGATTGGATTCTTCCTGCTACGACTGGTAGATTACACCAGGTGGAGGCCGTTCCTGATTGGCATGCAAAGTAAGTGACTACTTTGCTTTGAGCACCTACACATGGCACGAGCTCATCATATCGAACAGTATTTATTACACTATTTACCATCGTCTCCACATTTTCAATCATATTTCAATGCATACCCGTGCAGGCTGGATATGATTACAGCCTGCGACCACCATACGGGTAAGTCCCCTGCTTCTCTTCACCTCACCACGCTCTAACCCACCCTAGAACCGCAAAATGCTACAACCAAAACATCTTCAGAAACATCGGCGTCTTCAACTCCTCCATCAACATCGCAACCGACCTAATATTCGCCTTACTCCCCATCCCCATGGTCTGGCGCCTACAACTTAACCTGCGCACGCGCATCGGTCTTGCCATCGTCCTGTCGCTGGGCCTGTTCGCCTCCGCCGTTGCCATCTACAAAACACCCATGCAATACAACTTTTTCAAGCAGCCCGATTTCTCGGGCAATGGTGCGGGGTACTACGTCTGGCAGCAGGTGGAAATGCACGTTGGGATTCAGGCGGCGTGCTTGCCGACGCTTAAACCACTGTTTGCTAGCTTCTTTGGACGGTTTAGGGGGTTGACAAAGGGGCGCTTGACGGAGAGTTCGGATGGGTATGTTAGGCACGATGAACGGGGTGGGTACATTATGGGCAATTCGGGTGGGGAGAGGAGGGTGGTGTTTGGTGAAGATGGGTTGTTGGCGAAGGACGAGTGTAGTTTGCAGATAGAGGCGAGGCTCAGCGGGGCGGACGAGGGTGAAGAGAGTATTTTGAGTCACGGGGGTAGGTCGAACGGATTGGAGATATTGCGGACGACGGAGGTTATTGTGACGGAGGAGGCGCGTTGATGGATGTATGATACCCAATGATAAACGTTAATAGTTCAGTGTTTATGTCTGGAATGCAATTTCAATGCATTGGATTCTAGTGTAGTCTAGTTCGTGTCTATCGTCTTCGTCTATGGTTATGCTCGACGCATTCATGATCTCCCCAGGAGTCACAGCAATGGCATCACTCTTATTTCGTCGTCGCAACAGTGACGCCCGCCTTTCCGCTCTTGTATGCCTCATAGCCCTCCTTGGCCGCTGCTTCAGTCGTCGTCTTTCCCTCGACAATAGCCTTGCATTTGCTCAGAATGTCGGACCAGTCCTTGAAAACTGTGAAGGGCACGTCCTCGCGCGCACAGTAGCTGATCAAGTCGTGACCCTGCTTTGCGAAGAGAAGGTCGGTCTCCCGCGCAGCGGAGAGATCCGAAACGCCGTCGCCAGCGTAAAACATGGTCGGCCGCTCACTCGCCGGCAACGAAGAGTACTTCCTCAACTCGACCGACTTGTCATGTCCAAACCCTGATTCGGGATGGCGGTAGTTGATTTGCCAACCACGCTCTGTGTTGATATCCTTGCCATCTCTCGAGCCAACGTAGTTGCCCACAACCTGGATCTTGTCCGCCGTCGGGCCGACCAGATTCTTCAAAATGGCGTGAATGACTGGCTCCATGCCGCCGCTCAGGACGACGACGGGGATGTTGTTTTCCAAGCTCCATGTGTAGAACTCGGCGAAGTAGGGGTCGAGCTTGATGTTGTCGACGAGGATTTGCGTGCATTTGTCGAAGGGGGTGGTTACGCTGTCGAGCATGTCGCGGAAGGAGTCGCGGAAGGTGATCTTGTCGGCGAGGGTGTCGAGGTTGCCTTGGCGCCGCTTCTCGTAGCCGTAGCCTAGGTTGTCGGTCATGTAGTCATTGCCTGTGGGTTGTTAGTAGGCTGAGACATAGATTTGAGGTGGAAGCGTCTTGATTGTAACTCACTGTCTTGAAGAGTGATTGTGCCGTCGAAGTCGGTGAAGAAGATGAACTGTCGAGCTTTTATCAGTAGTTATTCTCGTGTGGCTATGGCGTGGTGCTGTGTACCTTGGGGTTCGTTTTCATAGCCGGCAGATCGGCCGCAGCATTTGGGACACCCATCTTGAATGTCGAATATGTTTGAGTATTTACAGTGGCTTCAATGGTGTTGTAGAACGTGGAGGGGCGGCTAGGGAAATCTTCTTCTTTAGGCATTCCGATCGGAATCAAACCAGGGACCAGTGATCGTCATACGCCATCCCACGCGCCTTGGCACGCGAAGCCCCACACGCGATTGCGGACTCCCGCGGGTGCGAGCTTTTTTGTGTCAACGTCACTGGCTGTCAATGTGAGTGGCATCCCGCGACAGAAATGAAGCCACTGCTTCGCCATGCTTCTCGCTCGCTTTTGGCTGGCTTTGCGCCGGTAACATCGTTTTCACGACCGATAGGAGAATCCGGGAGGGCGTCAATATGCCTGAGGTGTCAGTACCGGGCAGCTTCCACCACGGTGCGCAACAGCAGTAAAGCCCATTGGAGCTCGAACATTCAGTCGAAATGGTCGCAACGATTGTTTTCAAGCTCGACGAGGTGGATGGAGGAGCGGAAACCGTCCAAACCCATACCAATGCCGCCGCCCGCATCAGATTCAAAGTCAATGAGCGAGAGTAGAGCGCAGGACAGTGTGGAAGAGCGGGCACGCGCAATCATGGCTTCTATCGAGGATCAAAAGCGCCTCCTTGAAGAGCAAAAGATGCAGGCAAAGGAGGAAGCTGCCCGCGTGGAAACTGAGACGGTGCCAGAACAATTGCCAACGGCGGATGCCCAAGAACAGTCACAGGAGAACTCGTCTGCACCGGGAGCCAAGAAAGATAACGTTGCAGACAACATAAGACGAGTGCCTGATGAGCACTTGCCATCACATCGCGAGCGGCAAAGATGGGATTTCTCAAAGCGCTTCTCCGAGATCATGGACGACATGCTGCCGAAACTTGCGGTAGTCACACAGAAGGTGAACTCCTACACCGGAACCGACTACTCAGGCGTGGAAGCACTGAGGCGTGAGATCAAGGAGCAAGGTAAACATGTCCACTCCATGCCCCAACTCCAACTAACATCACCCAGAAAACCTCGTCAAAGCCCGCCGCTCCGCCATTGATACCGCAAAGCACGCCCTCGATACCGCACATGCCCAGCAAGCCTCCGCGCAAAAGGAAGTCGTTGCACTGCTCGAGCGCAAACACTCTTGGTCCGCCGGCGATCTCGAACGCTACATGTCTCTCATCCGCTCCGAACACGTCAACGACCAGGCGATCAGACAAGCCAAGGAAAGTGTTATTGCAGCAGAAGCAGCTTTGGAAGAGGCGCGGACACAATTGGAAAAGCGAGAGCGTGCTCAATACCACGAGGAGCAGATCTGGAGCGACACCATCCGACGGAACAGCACATGGGTGACATTCGGACTTATGGGCGTCAATATCTTTTTGCTACTCCTCAGTCTGGCGATACTTGAACCTTGGAGAAGAAAGCGGATGGTCCGGGAGATCAAGAGTGCACTGGAAGCACAGTTGGAAGCATCCAAGCCGGCTCTTAATGCGACGACGGCGTCTTTCGCACCCACAGCAGCGTCGAACAGCACTCAGCACCAGCTTTCAGCAATCGAAGAAGAGATTGACAGGGTTACTGATGATGCGGAGTCGATTGCCGTGGAAGCGCTACCAGATTCCAAAGATTCGATAGTCGAAGGGTCATCTTCCGCCCCAATGGGTGCAATTCTGCCAATGCAAGCTCCCGCTGCATCCACACAGACACCCATCAGCGTAGTTGATCCTGCACTGGGCGTTGCATCACCGAGCGCTACCATTCCTCACCCGCAGGACACCCCGGCGCCACAACATGCGAGCCCCGATATCCCAGATTCTCCACGCAGCAAATTTGAAAGCTGGCAAAGCAAGGTCACAGCCGTGGCACAAGACGTAGTGAGCGATCGAGTGATTTCGATGCGGAGGATCGAGTACACGTCGGCGATACTTCAGGGCGCCGCCGCTGGTGCGATCATTACGGCGTCGATTATTGGCATGTTGCGGCCGAATTGAGGAGTTTGAAGCAGTGTACGATCATGTATTGTATAGTGGAAGAGCTGTTGTATATATTTGAAGCTGTACAGGCGGTAATTCAAGCCCGTGAACTTATTCACACAATATTCATGGTCGCTCGATCGTCCCGCCCACTAGTCTACTTTGGTATCGGGTCTGCCTACTTACATCCTCAGCAGGCGCACACCCGGCTTGGCTTATCACTTTACAAGCATGAGCATCCATCGGAAAGCCACCGTTGGTCGCGCCAGAAGAGTTTGTGGCTTGCCGATACTTACATGGTTACGTCGTGGGGTCCCGCACTCACGCCTATTTTCTCAACTGGCTCACAGATTCAGCAAGATGGACCCGTGGCTGTTTGAGTGCAAAATCGACGCGGAGCCTATACACCGATATTGCAAGGGTGGATACCATCCTGTTCATCTAGAAGATATTTTGAACAATGGCACGTACAGGATCTTGCACAAATTAGGCTGGGGTGGTTACTCTACTGTATGGGCAGCAAGGAACTTGAAGTACGCGAGCTCGCTATGCCTGAGAACACGCCATGCTGACATCTTACCAGAACAAACAATAATGTTGCTATCAAGATAGCAGTATCAGAGCGGTGCTGCCAGAGTCGAGAGGTCACTGTCTTACGTGCTGTTGCAGCAGCGCAATCTGAACGGTCCAACTGTCACCACCTTATGACGATGCAAGACCACTTCCAGCTTGATGGCCCAAATGGGACCCAAGATTGTTTGGTACTCGAAATCTTAGGTCCGAGTGTCGGCGATGTACTTGATAAGTACTTTTGCAACGAGAGACTTCCCGCCAAATTAGCAAAGCGGATTGCAAAGCAGACTCTCCTTGGCTTGTGCTCCCTACATGAACGAGGCATTGCGCACGGGGGTAAATCTTGCACCTTGAAATTATCTCTGCATCCTCAGCTTACCTTTGGCAGATTTATACATTCGCAACGTAGCATTCACTGTGCCCTCGCTGCATGCGTTAACAGAGGAAGAACTTGTCCAGAAGCTAGGAAAACCAGAAACAGGTCAGATACAGAGAAAAGACGGTATTCCACTTGACCACGGTATGCCGCAATATCTAGTCCGCCCTACTTCCTATCCTCCAGATCTCAAATCCTCCACAAACATAATCAAGCTCATCGACTACGGGCAATCTTTCCAGCGCCACGACACACCCAATGATCACAACACTCCCCTCCCCGTCCGCGCTCCTGAGATTATCTTCAAAGACACAGTGGACTATCGCATGGACTTGTGGAGCATGGGCTGCATGGTAAGTCCAGCACAGCATCCGATCACAAAAGGCAAGCTAATCGCCACCAACAGCTTTTCGAGCTCGTCGTCGGCCAGCCAGTATTCGACAGCATCATGATCTCGCCTCCAATGCTCGTGCGTCAGATGCTGGAAACAGTCAACGAGGACTTACCAGAGCGCTGGCAGGAGAAATGGCGCGTGATGAACACTGATCCGCCCGATGAGGAGCCGGGCATATGTCTACAAGATTGGCTGGAGGAGATGTATTTTGATGGGGAGAGGAAGGAGGAGTTTAGTCGGGAAGACATTGTACGCGTAGGTGCGCTCATTCGAAGCATGCTACGACTTGAACCTTCGATGAGGGCGGAGGCGAGGGACGTCCTCAAAGACTCTTGGTTCGATGAAGAGTAAGGAAAGGGTTTTCGGTTAATTAACCGTTTGAAAACTCGAATCCCTTTGATGACACGCAAACTCTGCCAGCCGAGTAGCGAAAACGACGGGCGTGGAAATATGGCTCAGAACCGGGCAATGGTCCAAGCTTCACCACCATCAGAGACATGAGTGAAGAATGTACAGGATCAATACAATTAATGTAAGCGCACCACAACGCTAACAACGCGCTCCTGACGCCTATCAAGTCCCTCAAATATGCCGACACAGAATCGCAACATGTCTCCCTCCCCAACCCCACCTCTACCTAATCTACCTAACAGGCAGCTGATTCTGCCACTCCGGATCAACCTTACTCTGTTTAAAAAAGCTCTTCCCGCGCAACCACTGCCGATACGCCTTATACCTCTTCTTCGCACCATCCTCATCCTCCACATCCAGCGGATTCTCGCGGACCTTTAGAAACTCCTCAAACTCCTCCACGTCCTGCTCGGGCGTCACGAATTTTCCGGGCGTGGCATACATTTGCGGCTGCGGCTCCTCTGGGTGGAATTGCTGAAGGTGCGGGTGTAGGTTGTGCAGGGGTGGGTAGGAGTATGATGGAGCGTGGGAAAAGGGTGTATTAATGGACTGTGAGGTCATGGGGCGTTGAGAGGCGAAGGAGCGGAGAGAGGCGGCGTCAGTGTCGAAGCGCGGGGTTGAGGTCATGGCGAGGCGGAAACTAGCTTCATCGGCGTCTCTGACGGCGTGGGGCTCGCCTTCAGTCATACAGAGGTAGTCGTGGTATTCGAGCGCGCTGGGGTCGTTGATGCTTGGTCCTTCGTTGCTGACTACGAGGGGGAGGTTGAGCGGGTGTTCGACGTAGCGAGAGTATTCGTCTTCTTCGGTGGTGGAGACTGAGGGGTTCATGCTATTTTCGTAGAATTGTGTTAGGGTCCATTGGTTTATGAGGGCTTTGTCGGCAGGCTTGAAGCCGGGTTTGAGGGTGGATGATAGGCCTGTGGAAGTTGTACCGGAGTTGGACAATGATGGAAATGTCCCTGTGGTTGCTGGTGCGGAATACGGCAGTTCTGTCTCGAAATGAGGGTCTCGTAAGATTGAATGCGTCATTGCGGACTCGGTATGCAGACTCAGGTTGCCCTCTCGTCTCCTGCGACCTATAATGCTCCCATGGCGTGACTCGGTCTCGCTAGACGGATCGATGATCGTGACTCCCTTGCGCAAAGCTTTCTTTCCATCCTTGACTTGCGGTTCATCATGTTGCTTTTTGCGAGGAATGAACGGCGACAAGTTGTCCTTCCTTGCTGGATGGGTCCCATCTCTGGCATCCCGACCAGGACGTGGTGAAGCTATTCGGAAAGCAAAGATCTTGAGGAATGATGAAATAGCCAGTGGTCGATAATATTCAAGCCAGTAATCGTCGCGCGCACTTATGACAGCCTGCGCTAGTCTTGGAGTGATCGATTGTGGGAGTGAGCGAGGCTGTAGAAAGCTGGGTGTATACCAAGTGATATAATTAGGACGTGGCTTTTCGAGCCATGAACGTGGATCCTCGTGATGAAGGTAGTAGTCCGTCGACAAGTCCCATAACATCGGCTGTCCGTGTTTATAGACGTAGTTGCCCAAGAAGAGATTATATGCTTCTTGGCGTTGCGAGTCCAGGAATGAATTGTGATAGTAGCGCTTGAAACTCTCGACCATGTCACGCGAACTGCTTTGCCATTGGTTGATCTTCCTGTATGTTGCCATGGTGTTGACAAGATGAGAGCCACCATACTGAATAGCAATAGCGTCTCCGTGGCCATGAAACATATGTGTAAACATCTCGACGCAATCTGAGTCGTACTCGACGGTGTTACCAGCGATGACTCCAAGCGCATGCAGTTGGCGACCCAGGGCTCGTTTGCCAATCACAAATTGTGCTGCGTTCGTACGATCCAAACAGTCGATACAGTTAGTCCGAGCAACGCCATTTTGGACTTGTGGTGCGTCGACATCATACTCGCCGTTGTGGAAGAAACCGGTCGTGCAAAGGACTTTCTCTGCGAGGTTCTCCAGCGTACCAATGACATCCTGGCCTCGGGTCTTTGCCGCTCGTGACATATCAAATGCCTCGTATATGATCTTGTTTTCTTTTGGTAGAAATTGATTCAGGTAGTCGATGCAATGTTTGTATTCGTAAAGCAACTTCGATTCACGAGGTGTCCGCTCTCTGGCTTTGATGAGGTTGAGTACATATAGCGGAGCACCGTATCGTTCGAACAAGTGGTCGAAGTGGAATGCGGCTGCACTGTAGAAGGGGTCCATCAAACTTAGGTCAATGTCTGGTTTCGGGGTTACACCAGTGTTGTCTTGGGTCCAGTACAGAGGAATACTCCCACGATGTTGGATATAAGATGTGTATGTTGGGCTTGCGTATAAGCGTGGACCCGGGGCATGGAATGAGGTCGTAAGTGCATCGGATACAATTTGCTCAGTCTCGACATCGTTCGCAACGTAGCCCATGTCGTTCGTTCCACGCTTCAGAAATCGAGCACCCGCAAAGTGCCGTGATCGACGAGCGATGATGGTCATGTATATACGACGGCCAAAGACATCGATAGAACCCTGGTCAATGTACCCGTGTATGACTGGATGACACCAGTCATACATGTTCTTCATGCTGTCGCGAGCGGGGTGTAATAAATAGTGGTTCCAAACAAACATGTCCTGAAAGTCGCGTTGGGGACTGTCACTGCCTTCATTGACACTTGTTCGTTCGCGGATGATGTTCTGCTGGAGGCTTCTGGTTACATTGTACGAGTAGCTGAAGTAGAATCCTCGCGTAAGATCCAATGTGTTGAGCATGGCAAGATACCTGGCTTCTTCTGGGTTTCGGTCTTTCTGGAATCTTGAGGTAGATCCAGTCGTCAACGGGATCATCTCTGTACCGTCAACCTGATAGATGTAATGCCCACCGAGCACGGCCACTTGCGCTCGTTTTGTGATCAGCAGCATGTAGTAAGCTTCCGTGAACCTGATGAAGCCGAGCAAGCCCCAGGTGCTGCACTTGAGCTTCATTCCGCCGGTGCCCTTGTTACCTTCGTCAATGGTATTCAAAAGCTGATGCATTTCTCGCCGGCTGTACAATATGTCATCCTCGAATATGTTCAAATGCCCTGGCGGCGCCGTGCGGTCGACCTTGAGAACGCGATACTGCTTCTCCATGATGTCCGCTCCGACCAGGTAAAACCGTGCGCTGGTCTCATAGAGAGAGAATTTGTGCATTCGGTTGATACCGTTTTCACCAACCTTCTCGTAGGTCACACCCTTGGCTTTGTGTACGGTTGAAGGAGTAGACGCCCTGTGGATAGGCACGCCCACAGCCGGGTCCTCTTCTTCGCCACCAAATTTGGTTGAGGCGGCATCTTCTTGTGGCATTCCAGGCTTCTTCTCGAGATCAGCTTCGGGTTTGAAGTTGTTGATCGGGCCGTCATTCTGTGGAGAGTTTTGAGGGCTTCCGACAACGGTTGACGCTTTGTCGAACTCTTCTTGACGGTCCGCATTGCTTTCAAGTGAAGTAGTCGCTCGGGAAGCAACCGAGTTAGCCCGCTCTCGCGGCTCGGGTCTGGACTTAGAGATATCCATAAATTTGAGATTGGCGTGGAAATCTGAAAATCAAACTTCCCTTGAGATTGCGTGTTATGAAGTCATGGTGGCTTAGGTCAAGCGGGCAGCCGTGGCGCAGTGAGAAGCGGTCACCGAAATCGCGGAACGAGCCACTGGCGTAGCTCAGGACTACAGTAATTGCAGGATCGCGTGTTACCTGTACTAAACGAAATCACCTCGTTGTGCTGGTCGGGATTGCGGAGGTCAGCGGTGTGGAGGTGTTTGCGTTCGGTGCACGGTCTTGGCGCTACGTCAAGGTACATGCGCCACGTGCGCAAGGCAGGTGCCGCATTTGAGAATGAATTGACGAACCAAAGTAGCATTAAATTTTTTGCAGCTATAGCATGAACTCAAACTTCTTCCTCCGTGTATGTACTGTTTCACCCTCCTCTAGCGGTACACCAGCATATTCGCCGCCTTGCGCCTGGCCTGCTTTCTTGTTCTCCCTGATTAGCACCCATCTCAACACAGCTGCCAGGACGCCAACCAGCAACATGAAGGCTGCACAAACCGACATTCCCTTAACATAGTATGGACCATCTCTGTCGGGGAAGATGCTGGTCCCAAGCAGGGGTCCCATCTGCCCAATCACATTCAAGATAGCCATGCCAGTGCCTTTCTTACTGTCCGTCTGCTGGTTGTTGAGCGTCCATGTGATGATGATCGTGATAGCGGAGAAGAACCCGGCCACGGCTGGGTAGAGTGCCATGTAACGAATCATCGTGTTGGTGGATTCCATGTAGCCGGAGACTGCGATGGTTCCGTAGCCAAGTGTTGCGAGGAAGGAATGTAGGATGATGAAGGTCGAGCGTGTTTGCGTTCGATCAGAGTAATACGCCGTCGTCACAACCACGAGAAATGCGAACAGATACGGCGGGGCGGACAAGCCTTGTGCGGCGATGCTTTCGTATCCCATGTCACGTATAATCGTGGGCATGAAGACTGGCATAGAGCTGAAAGCCACGTTGCAGCTGAAGAACATACCAGCAGTGAGGTAGCACTTGGGGTCTTTGAGGGTTTGAAGCACTTCGCGAAAGTCGAGTCCTCCCGTTCTCCGTCCGCCGTCATGTTTCTCGTCGTGGAATTCGTCATCTTGACTTTCCGTCTCTGACCTCAACCTTAGCATGGCAACCTCTCGCTGGCGAGGGCTTAGCCACTTTGCGACACCTGGACCATCTGGCACAAAGTCAAATGCCCATATAGCGATTAGCAAGCTGGGGAAACCTTCAAGCAGGAACAATAGTCTCCAAGGCGAAAACGGACCATTCTTGGCCGCTTTAGTGATGAAGTATGCCAGTGCTCCAGCAAAGGAGCTTGAAAGTGGGCTGGCGCTGACTTGCAGACCAGTCCGGAATGCCAGCTCGTTTCGCCGGTAGAAGAACGAAAGGAAGAACGGGACACCAGGACCAAAGGCTGCCTCTCCTACGCCTAGCAGGGCTCGAAGGACAACGAGGGCGCCGAACGAGGTTACGATTGCTTGCAAGGACGCGATAATACCCCAGGACAGGATACACACCGATATGTAGATGTGTGCCGGGATGATACGGTACCTTCACTTGATCAGAAGACGTGTCTCAAAACGGACGGATCATACTGACATCAAGGTCATCCACGCAAAGGTGATGTATGTAATATAAAAAGCCCATAGCAACCACTCGTATTGTGTCGATGAGAGGTCCAAATCGACCTCCAATCCCGCGATACGGGCATTGCCAATGTCTACCATGTCTTATTAGCTCTCATGTGCTTCCAGCAATACCTTAACATCTTGATCCCCAGAAATCTTCCTTCATGGTCGTTGAACACCGAGATCACTCACTCGACCGATCAAGAAAGCTCAAGCAATAGAGCAATGCCATGAACGCAACCAGCTTCCTGTCAAGCTTTCTCAGCACCGCCTGGTCTTCATCTGGAGTATAAAGCTCAAAGCTTTGTGCCGACTCTATCGAAGCGCGGCGTGCGCTGGGTAGTAATCCATCGTCTTCCACATCTTCAGCTTTCGCCGCCGGCTCGCCTCCTGGAGCAATTGTTCGAAGCTCGAAAGAGTTTGGCTCATGGATTACAGGAAGGCCGTCGGACGAACGCGAAGAGCTCGGCGAGGGCGTAAGCTTAGGGGAGCTCTCGTCTGTACTCAGAGAAGCCGAATCGCGGGGTTTACGACGGGAAGGCATCGCGGATTGGCTGTTCCACTCTCATGCATGAGAAGTGACAGGCAAACGTGCTACATCTGAGGCATGCTGAGACTGGTAACTCTTTGGAACTTGTGCAGTTGGACGTAGTAAGCAAGAAGGAAGTCGCGAGCGGTGGTGGTCGGTATTACGAGATGCAATGACGCGCATTGGCCGTCCGTGCATTCGGCGGTAATCAAAAGGTCGAATCGTGCGAACATCACCGCTCCGTCATCTTCTCAAGCCTTTTAACACTTTTTGTGAATTCGACATTCCCTGTAGAAAATGTGTGATGATACATCTTCCTAGTAACTCATGCTGTCCTTTTATGTTCCGAGCAACGTCGAGATCCAGTCGATCTACACACCTTGCGCGCGTTGCTTCATCTTCAGTCTACAAAGCTCAGTCAGTATATTGTGCTTACGTGCTTACAGTCAATAGAGACATACCTCAGTAGATTTGCTTTTGGGCAGCTCACTGTGCTTGCATCGTCTCCGTTCTTCTTATAGAAGGCGTTGCAACACTCGTACAAGGCGTCGACCTTTTGAAGTCAGCATTGTGCTGCGAATTATTCTTCAGGTGAGACCACCAGCGCCATCACGATTGTGCATGAAGTCGTTCAAAGCGAGATAGTGAGTGTAAGGCGTCAAAAACACGTACCTCTTTCTGACACTTTCTTTCATCGAACCCGTTCTTTTGAATGCAGTCTCAACACGATGATTAGCGGGGGCCATGACTTGGTACAGTGACATTACTTTGTATCGCACATGCCCGTGGATGGCATGGCGGATCTGTCTTGACGTCCTTCTCCAGGTCGCCCTAGGAATTATCAGTTTCGTGATGTATTTTCTTGTCGGACAGTGACATCATGTTTGTACCATTGCCAAAGTAATGCTTCCCAGCAAACTTCTCGCGTTGCGTAGGAGTGTGGAGTGCAGATAGCTTGATTTACTACTTGGCGAATAAAAGAATCCAAAAGGTAAAACACTGTCTCGTGCGTACATGCGTGAGTGGTGGTAAGGAAGCTCGCAGAAATGGTCAGTGCTCAATGAGGAAGTCGCCCCACTCACTTCCCACCTCACTTGTCTTGCTTTCCTCGTTCACCTTCACAATTAACGCCTCGCCCCCACACACAACAAAGACGTCGCCCAACTGCAGCAAACGCACGCATATCGCCCACACTACGCGATTACCCGGCCATAGCTCTGCCTGCCCCATACAAAGGCTACCTCCCCGTCCACTGGTCCGTTTCTCCCAACTTCCATAACCGACCGCTCTTCTCACTCATCCCCGACAGGCAGAACCGAACCTTATACCTCCCCGAAAAGCAAATACACCACAGTCATCATGTCTGACAACGGATCTCCCAACGTTCAGCAGAAGCCCGAGGAAGGCCAGAGTGAGCACTTGAACATCAAGGTCACGGATAACAACAACGAGGTCTTCTTTAAGATCAAGCGCACGACAGCTCTGGGCAAGCTCATGAACGCCTTCTGCGATCGCCAGGGAAAGAACATCTCAAGCGTGCGCTTCCTCTTCGACGGACAGCGCGTCACAGCACAAGACAACCCAGACACGGTACGCCAAAGATTACTCGCTGCGCTTCGAACTGGCGAGTGAAGCAATGTGAAGGATAAATGCTAACCTCATCCAGCTCGACATGCAAGACGGCGACACCCTCGAAGTCCACCAGGAGCAGATCGGCGGCGGTTGCTAGTCGCAATGGCCTGATCTATGAGCTGCGCGGCCACTACACCATCGACGCTGGCCACACGACACTTTCTACCATCTCCTTCACGACCTGCACGCATACGAGGGCCGACATTGGGCTTGGCGCGGGCGAAAGCGGAGATGATACGGTTTACGCTTTGAGACGGACTTTTCAGGGATACTGGCGTCACTGGTGGATTTATCAGGCTCACTTCCGAGCGAGGCCCGAGCGAGGCCGTTTTGTGCTTTCGTATACCTTTTGACGGACGCCGTGGGCGGAGAGTACCCAATGTATGACTTCAACACTTCAATGACTTTGTGCCTCGTGTCTTGACATGATTTGGGAAGCCGATGGGAGAAGCAGTGCGAGGGTGGCAGCTCAAGTGATTCCACGCCTTGAAGACTGCTCATGCTTCTCTACCAACCTCTCGCAAATTCCAGCTATGCAATGAACATGCCACAAAGAATAGCGTACACTTATATACAACAATCCCTAATCTCACAACTAATCATCCCAAACCGCCTTCTTCCTCCTCTCCACCTCCTCCTTTTCCCTTGCCTCCCTCTCCTTCTCCTCCGCCCTCCTCCTCCTCTCCTTCTCCCTAACCGCCTTGTCAAACTCCCTCTCCTCCTCCGTCCTCTTCGGCGCCCTAACCCCCAGCGCCCCCGCAATCAACCGCCCCGCCACCGCCGTCGTTTTCTCCGGCCGTTTGTCTATACTTCCCGCCCTCGCGCTTCCCCTCGCACCTGGCACATTGTCATACGGCAATTCAAACGGCGTGGGCGACGCTGGCGTGGGCGGTGGTGGGTGCGGGCTTATTTCATTGCTGGCGACGGTACTTATGGGCGAGAGGGTGGGCTTGGTATCGGCGGATTCGGTCTCTGTGTCGGAGCCCGAGGATGCGTCTTCGTCGTCCCAGCTGTCGGCAACGGGCTTGGATTTGGGCTTGTGCAGCGGCTTTTGGGGGGATGTGGTGGAGAGTTTGAGGTGAGTGAGTGTTGAGGCGATTTCTGGGCGTGTTAGCATGGGAAGAGGAAGTATTGTTGGGAGAGAGCTCTTACCATCTTCGCTAGGTGTTTTTTTAATTGACGACATGGCTGAAATGGAGAGTTGTTGCGCTGCGTAGGATGTCGTGTGAGGACTTGAGAGGGAAGGTCCGGCTTTTGCGGGGTAAGGGTCTCTCTCCTAGCGATGGATTCAAGAGTCCGAGGAAGCCGGCGGTATTCTCAACTCTGAACCTGTCTTCAAAACCAAAAGTTTATTGATTCTACAACCTTCCGATCCCAATGTATAAGTATCCTGCTCGAAACCCTGCTGGGACTCGGCTTCCCAATGCAGGGGCACAACAGACAAGGATGCGACCATTCAATGTTGCATTTTGTGGGGAAAGGGTCGTGGTGCGCGTCATTCCCTCTCTGCCCATTCAGCGACACTGGAGGCATCAGATCATTGCCTCATCTTTGCTTGAGACCCACTCAATCCGATATTCTCCGGGGCTTCTAGATTTCCTATTTTCGGGGCCGCGGTGGTCGCGGTCGAGTCTGCGACCGTGGTCTGTGGAACGGGTGAGATATTTTTGTACGTGAGGGCTTGCGCGTTCGTGAGGCGTTGGAGGTGCACGGGGATCAATAGATGTTTGCATCGGCGAAGGAAGGGGTAATGCATGGGTGCATCTTGAACCCATTGTCTCGAAATGATGCTGAAGTGCTGCTTGCGGTGGACTCAGGGTGATAATTGTCTCTGAGATCACTGACGTGACAGCCTCCATTCTGAAATGACAGATATGACGTCTACCTCTGTACTCCTGCAGGTCCAAGAGGAAACGCAGCGACATCGAAAAAGACACTGTAGGTAATCGCACGGTATGTTCAATCAATGCATGTCAAAACGATGTACAACCCTTAGCCGGCAGTACAGCAACGTGTGCTATCCATTTCTTCCGCATCGGCACTTTCCCTACTCTGAGACTCAACTTCACTTTGTCCTTTCCAAATCATGTTTAGTCTACCATGACAATATTCACGTGCTCACCACACGTCAATCGCCGGTCGTCGGGAGCTCTGAGGGGCACTTCGGCTATGTGCCCAAGTCTGAGTAGCCTATTCTCCCCACCTGCCTCGATTGCAACAAAACAACATTTCGTCTTCCACAACGTCTCGTATAGAAGCTTGAGAAAATAGAAGCGTGCCTCGGGCCCTGGAAGATAGATTGTCTCGGTTGAAGTTCATTGGCTGATAGACCATCTCGGACGCTTCCCGTCTGTCATTTTCATATGCCCATGACGTATTGTTTTGAGAGCGCATAGCTACTTTCTTTCACCATGATACTCCAACATACGCGTCTTTCGCGCTGCAATTTCTTCAGGTCGCGTCTGATATCTCGCCAAACACCCAATGCAGCTTTTTCGAGCTCCTCGCGCCACAATGGCTACGACGATACGATACAAAACCTCAGAATTGGGAAAGACACCCGGGTCATTTTCCAGGGCTTCACGGGCAAGCTTGCGACTGCAAACGCAAAAGAGTCTATGGATTGGGGCACCAACGTGGTCGGCGGTGTAAAACCCAAAGGCTCGGGTGAACATCTGGGCAAGCCTGTGCTGCCATCTGTTCGAGCTGCTATGGAACAGCTTAAGCCAGATGCTACGGGAATCTATGTTGCTGCACATCAGGCTACGGCAGCTATAGAGGAGGCTATTGAAGCCGAAGTGCCTCTTATAGTCGCGGTCGCAGAGCACATTCCACTACACGATATCATGCGGGTAAGCAGAACACCTAGGCACAATCTTGGACTGCAAGTGCTGATCCATGATAGATACACTCCATGCTGCAAAGTCAGTCCAAGTCACGACTCGTAGGTGCAAACGCGCCGGGAATCATTTCGGCAATCGGACGATGCAGAATTGGCTTTCAACCATTACCAACATTCAGTCCTGGTCACATTGGCATTGTTGCGAAGTCAGGGACGTTATCCTATGAGACAGTAGGCTCTCTGACGCGAGCTGGCTTGGGCCAAAGTCTCTGTATAGCCGTAGGCGGAGACGTCATCGCAGGGACGAACTTTGTCGATGCTCTGAAAGTCTTCGAGAAAGACGAGGACACAGAAGCAATCATCCTTGTGGGCGAACTTGGTGGAACGAGTGAGGAGGAGGCAGCCGCCTGGATAAAAGACTACCGAAAACGCGTCAAGAACCCAAAGCCGATTGCTGCGGCCATTGGTGGCTTCCAGGCAAGTCCTGGCAAGGTCATGGGACACGCTGGTGCGTGGACTGGACTGGGAGAAGGAACGGCAGAGTCCAAGTACAAGGCTCTTGAGAATGTTGGGGTTACCATGGTCGATCACCCGGCGAAGTTTGGCGGTGTCATGAAGGAGATTCTCGCCCAATCCGGGCGCAACGTGAAGAACATTGTAAGTGTTGCCACGAACTTCCGAGACACAAAAATTAACAGGATAGCAGGAAAAATCAGCAGCGAGTGCACAACAACGCCGCTCATACCACACGATGCAAATTCGAACCAGACCTACACTTGCTACAATCTCTCCAAATCCTTTCAACCAAAGGCGCTCCCTACACCTCTCAGCCGACCAACTCAGCGAAGAGCTCGCAACCGCCAACATCCGCATATCCCCTCCTCCCGAGAGCCCCAGATCAAGCCACTACCTAGGCATCTCCCCTGACCGCAGCGCCCGCTCACCCTCCATCATCGCCGCACCCACAGCAAACCCCTCACAACTCCACAAGCGCGTCATACGCATCCCTTTCGACTACCGCACCGGGCCAACCCCAGAAGTCATCAGCCGCGCCATCGCCCACCTGCAACTCGACGCCGCGCCGCCCCGTGCCAAAACCCAGACCGTCGAACTGATAAACAGTCTGTGGAGCATGTATACAGCCACGGAAGCCATCGACCTCCACGTCCGCCTCGCCGTGTCCTCCGCCGCCGACGAAATCGCCGTCTACGAGCCGTATTTCTTCTTCGACGACGCGGCGTTCAAGTCGAACAAGCGACAATCTGCCCTGCACGCGAAGCGCACCCAGCCCTCAGATATCGATCTCGAGGCGGAAAACGCGGGCATCGTGTACGTCCCCCTGGGCCCCGAGGGGGAGAAGGGGTTAGTAGGCACGCTGGTCAACGGCGCGGGCCTGGCGATGAACACCAACGACGTGCTCAATTCCCGGCTCATGCCACACACGCAGTCTGCGAATTTTCTCGACACGGGCGGGAAAGCTACGTCTTCTACCATTTCCACTAGTTTCAAACTCATCCTGTCCGACCCGCGCGTGAAAGTCGTGTTTGTCAACATCTTTGGCGGACTCACGCTGTGCGATATGATTGCCGAGGGGATTATACTCGCGTTTAAAGAGGTCGGGGTTCGTAAGCCGGTGGTGGTCAGGCTCAGGGGCACGAATGAGGAGAAGGGGGGGAGAGTGTTGGAGGAGGCGAAGTTGCCGATTCATGCGTTTGATGGGTTTGAGGAGGCGGTGGAGAAGGTGGGGGAATTGGTTGCTGCGAAGGAAGGGTGAGGGTTCTAGGGGCGTTTGTATGTGTATATATGTCGGTTGAGATTTTGTTCATCGTTTTAGTTCAGCTCTAATGTCCTAACTGCATGCGCCATTGTCAAAAAGGGTGTCCATTCAAAAAGGGTGTCCATCAAGTAAAGGGTTCAAAAAAGAAGGGGGATATCAAATTAAAATGCTCTAACTCATGACCTCGCCACCCAAGCGTGTCGCAGCCCAGCCAGTTCCTCCCCTCTTTTGTAATTCCGTGTCAGCCAAGTAGCAAGAAAACCCCCTTTCCTGCGCCAACATGAACATAAGATCAAGGATCGAAAATTGGGGGGCATGGTATCTGGGGACAAAATTCGAAGGGGGGAAAAGAAGGTGCATAAATCAAAAGACTTCGGGGCCCAAAATTCAGCAACACCTGGAGAAGAAAGAATGCTGTAGTTATGCGAGGTACTGGAATGCTGTACTGCGGAGGAGTTAGTGTGCTGCAGTGAGTGGACTTGGGGAATGCAGAACGTACCCGATCGCTGCCATGGCAAAAACACCAAACATGGCCCTTCTCGCGACCTTCTCCTTGACGAGCTTCTGCTCGGTTGTGTAGACGGTTCTAGCGGACTTTGATGGGCGGTCCTGCTCGAGTTCCCCCTCTTCAACGATCTCTTCGACCTTGCGCTTCGATGACTTTATGACATCCGAGGATGAGCCAGCCTCCAGCTTCTGTGCCTCCTCCACCATCCGTCGCGCCTCCTCAATCATCTTGGCAGGGTCCTCGGGCTCAGGGAGCTCGGCGTGGCTGTGAGGAACGTCGATGCTGACGTTGGTGGACTTGGTCTCCACATTGCCTTCCGTCTCGACCGTCTCTTGCACTTCGATATGGACGACACCATCCTTGACGCCACCTTCCTTCGACTCCACCTCCTTGACCTCGCCGCTTACGGAGTCCGACGCGACTGAGTCGTCAATGTCGGCGCCGTTTGCGATGACGTTCTGGAGCGCGCTGGCGGCCTTGGAGGCGGACGATTCGATCGTCTCGTCGATCTTCTGGACTTCAGACTTGAGGCCGCCTCTTGTTGTCCTGGGCTTCCTTGGTGTCGCAATCTTGCGGCTGGGCGTGGCCATCTTGCTGGGTGACGCAGATCGTGTCGATCGCGCGCGAGTTGATGTGCGAAGTGCAGAGTGTAGTGGTAGCGCAGCAAGAGTTGCGTTCTCGAGGTCGAACACTGGTGGTTGCTGGATGTGCGTGTTGACTTTATCCTTGCTGCCCTTCTCAATTGGCGCGGGGTCTAGCAGGGCCTCGATCCAGTGGCGCATGGCGTATTCTTCGGATAGTGAGAGGGCTAAGGCGCGATTCACGTCAGCTTAAGTAGGATTTCGGTGTTTTGTCGCCTTCACTCACCCTCTTCAGGCGCGATCCACACGCTGCCTGCAACCTCGTCTCCACCAGCCGAGGGGAACGACTTCTGATACCTGCGCTCGGCCTCCTCTTCTGCGAGCGATGCCCAGGGAAAAGCAGCCTTGAACATGCCCGTCGCGCTAATGTATCCGTCACTGCTGCGTCGCTGTTGGTCGCGTTAGTCCATCGGCAGCGCTTGTCGCAAGGGGCATTTTCCATCGCGTACCATCAGGAAATATGACTCGGGGAAGGTCGAGGCCCTGGTCAGAGTGAAGATGCCTGATCCACTGAGGTCCTTGGGGAGCGGCACGCGTAAATGCGCGTAGTCAAAGGTGCCCATGTTGTCGCTCTTGGTCGCGCTCGCGACGCCCGCAACGCCAGGCTTCACGGCGAGGTTGGTCTGGCCCAAGCGACGTCTCTCGATGAGAATCTCCTCTGCGCGGTGTGTTAGTCGTGTAAAGTGATGAATGCGATGCGCGCCTGCACTCACTGGCCGTAGACTCGATGGGCTCGAGCAGCGGGTTCTTCCGCTCGGGCAAAGCGCGTTTTGACACCATGATCGCGACGTATGATTGTATGTGGATGAGATAGGGTGAAGTGGTAAAGCGCGCTGCGCGAAGGTGGTGGGAGGAAGCTTGGTGTCAAGCCGACGTAGTTTGCGCGCGACTAGTAGCGCCGAAGGCCTCTCGCGCGCGATGGTGATGCCGCGACTCAGCGATGTACAGAAACGTGCCTGAAGACTTCTGATCCCCCTACGGCAATTGCGCGCGTGCGTTTGAGGGCGTGCGAGACGGTGGAAGCGAGCTACCAGAAGGTGAGGGTCGTGGGTGCGAGGAGAAAGCGATTGAGTTCGTCGCCCCTGCCCATGCAAGAGGCTGGGCGTCCGTTCCCCAGACTGGCAGAGATGAGATGATCCCTGCACGCCTTTTTTCCTCGCGAACACGACCCGAAGCCAACATGCCACCATTTCAGACGTGCCGATTGGTGGATAGAGACTATATTCCAACACAGGTTGAGTGAAGCGTGTCCTTTTCGACGGCGGCATCTTTTGAGGAAAGCGCGGGAAGTCACGCCTCGACGCGATCGCTTCATGAGAGGTGCCTCGTTCCCTTCGACCTGCTCACTCTCGTCCTGAGACGCGTTAGAAGTCCCGACGCTTACGTCGTAAATGCCTTCATGCGCTTCAAGTCACCGTCGGAACGTTTCTGGAGGTGAGATTCGATACATGCGCAGTCGCTACACCTTCAGCGACTGCAATGACCGGCTAAGGCTGCAAGTGTTGGTGTGCCTGGTAAGGAATGCTTGCTAAATACGCGGGGTCTGACCAAAGCTCAATATCACATCACTACCAACTTTCAACGCTCGCCTCTTGAACGGGTTCAATTGCCCAGGCAGACAGATGAAGGAGACTGACGACAGCAAGTTTATGCATATCCTCTGCTTTCAGACAACCTAGACATGAGGGCTCCACTCTCAGCCGCGGAAGCACCCCCCAGGCACCCAGCCAATGAGCGGTGAATGAACCCTGAGAGCTGCCCCTCCGCACCCTCAAGTTTCAAGAGCCCAACACTGCCCTTTAACTTGAACTCTACACGCCACTCGAGACCATTTGTCCTACCTACCACTCAGTCTACCCCACTATCTCTACACCGCAAACATGGCCGACCACCACGACGACCTACACGCCGAGCAGACCGAGGGCTTCAAGGTGGGCGAGAAGAAGACCATTGACGAGTACCAGAAGCTGGGTATGTTTTGTCGTGCAAGTGAGGTATCTTGTAGCTGACCTCACTACTACAGACCAGAACGACGAGTCCCTCCAGAAGTGGAAAGCCTCTCTCGGTCTTGGTCAAGGCAAGGACATCTCCGACCCCAACGACCCCCGCAAATGCATCATCCTCTCGCTTGGTCTCGAAGTCGAGGGCCGTGAGGACATCATCATCGACCTGCGATCGCCCGGTGCCGTCGAGGCGCTCCAGAGCAAGCCCTTCACTATCAAGGAGGGTGCCACGTTCCGCATGAAGGCCCAGTTCAAGGTGCAGCACGAGATCTTGGCAGGATTGAAGTACCTCCAGAAGGTGTCACGCATGGGAGTCAGCAGCAAGATGCAGGAAATGATGGTGAGCCGGGCGATTCCCTCGCGGATTCCATTCGCTAACGGCAGTAACAGGGTTCATACGGTCCTAGCACCGAGGAGAAGCCATTCTACGAGAAGAAGTGTACGCAGTGAAGCTCCCTCTCCGATACCGCGCGATGCTAACACCCCTCCCAGTCGAACCCGAAACTGCTCCCTCCGGCATGCTCGGCCGTGGCCACTATGAGGCCGTCTCCAAGTTCGTCGACGATGACAACCACACCCACCTGCAGTTCAAGTGGTCTTTCGACATCAAGAAGGACTGGAACTAAGCTCAAGTCGACTGAGCAAGCGTTGGAAAGGGACGGGATTTGGAGGAATTGCTGCGTTGGATATCCCGGGCAAACTGGTGCCCGCAAAATAACGAAATGACGGCTGATGATATAGATGAGCTCTAGGTCGATTGGGTCAACATCTGCGAGATCTTTATAGCAATCTTGCGACTGCACCTTTTCGTTCTGGCTTGTATTCGTCGTGCACTTCCGTCTCGTCATCCCGGAGCTTCGCAAATTTGCTCATTGTCTAACTTCTGAAATTGAAACCACCGGGCTGCGATCCTCTTCGCCTTGACGGTCCGACCCGCCCATCCGCTCTCCCCACTGTTGGAGCCAAATCGCCGCGCGGAGACGTTGAGGATGGATACTTCCTGCTCCCATGGGTCTTGCTCTGTGTTTGTGTCGTCGTGAGATTCCCTGTCTTCGATTTGCATTTCAAAGTCCTCTCCGTCTGCTGGTGGTTCAGCCGTTGTGCCTTCACCGGGACACTCGACGACTTGAAGCACGGCACCCAGCTGGAGCGCAGTTTCGGTAGCTGCTGCAAATGATCTAGAAAGTCCCTGGGCAGAAAATGATAGAGTGGACGCATGTAGGGCAAGCGGGTTGACCAGGACCATTCTCGGTCGCGATCCATGCTGACCACCATGCGCAGATCCGGTCTGGCCATGAATTGTCAGATAGGCCAACAATGCCTGCACTGATGCACAGAAAGCCAGCTTGATATGACGGGCCGTAAGGAGATTGTGTAGCGAAGGGCTGATTACGTCCCGCATGTAGTCATCCTCCTCTCCCCCACCCTGGTGCTTCTGCAGGGACTGTGCAAGCTGGCGCAAGAAGGTGTCACGGCTCGAGCATATGATGAGAAGGGTAGAAGCAGTACCCGCCTGGGTTGTCAAGATGTAGTGGAGTAGTCCCGCCAGTGTTAGTGGGTAGATGACAGTCGGCGAGATGGCCATGAATCGGTCGATCTGCATCCAGACTGCGGCTGGCATATGCGCCTGGGGTCTGCGGTCAGTGTCGAAAAATGGGGGGTTCCATGTGCGGGTCGAGGTGAGGGTGGAGGTGACAGCGAATCGGCACGGACGCCTCCTCCGCGGGGCACTCGCGCCATGGACCCGTGGACGTCAAGCAAGAAGCCCCATGCACGTCAGGCACACTTTCACCCACTGCAAGACTCGCTCGCCCCTAACACACCTGACCTTGCCCATCTGTGCATAGCCGCCACCTCTGGAGCAGCGGACGCGCAATCCGCAGTGCGCTACGGACCGAAGCGCTGTTTGCGCGTAGACGGCAGCCATGGAGTCGATAAGTCGCATCTCGAGCTTGCTGGAGACAGGTAGGACCCGCTTCCCACTTTTACGCCTTTTTGCTCTCCCAATGTAACTCTGGTGTACCTCGGGAAGAGCTTTGGGCGTCTTCTGCGCGCATTGGTGGCTGTCATGCATCCGTCCAACTTTGCTCACTGGTCTCTCTCTACAGCTCGCGATCTTACCCTCGAAGCCGCCAACAATGCCAGCAGCGTCCGCCGAGCGCCCACCAAGGAGCTGCCCTCGGGCCAGCTCAAGAAGCTCCTGGACAGCAGGGCCGAGCGCGAAGTGCTGGAGGGCTTGCGACGAGTCGTTACTGTAGGATACCCCGCCACAACTTGAAGTACGGACAATCGTCTGATATGAGCTTGAACGGGTTGGTACTGACGCTGGGAATTGCAGATGTCATACCGGCAGCCTCCTTCACAGACACTGCCATTCTTCTCCCACGTGATCAAGAACGTTGCGTCGCCCTCGCTGCCCGTCAAAAAGCTCGTCTACATCTACCTCCTCCAGCATGCCGAACACGAGCCAGATACCGCGCTGCTCTCCATCAACACGATACAGAAGTCGCTCACCGACACGAACCCCCAACTTCGCGCGCTCGCACTGCGCGTCATGTCGAGCATACGAGTGCCCGTCATCAGCCAGATCGTGAGCTTGGGCATCAAGAGAGGAGCAGGAGACATGTCGCCGCTTGTAAGAAGAGCGGCTGCACTGGCCATACCGAAGTGCTATCGACTAGATCCAAACACGGAGCCGCAATTACTCGAATACCTGTCGCAATTGCTGGGTGACAAGCAGTACTTTGTCACGGGCGCAGCAGTCGCAGCCTTCCTCGAATTATGCCCCGACCGCCTCGATCTGCTCCATCCGCATTACCGCTCACTGGTCCGGAAACTGGTTGACATGGACGAATGGGGCCAGTTGGCCACTCTACGCTTGATGATGGTGTATGCGCGTAAATGCTTCCCACGACGGACGAAGAAGGTCCCCAAAGCCTCGAGTAGCAACAACACTGCCGCAAAGACGACCAAGAGCACAAAGGGATTCTACGACACGGAGAGTGATTCAGAAGAGGAAGAGAAAGAGCATGAGTCAAACATGGAAGAGGTTGCTGTGCTGGACCCCGATCTTGAACTGCTTCTGAAAGCTTGCCAGCCACTTCTGCAGTCTCGCAATGCTGCTGTGGTGGTAGCAGTAGCACGAGCATATCTATACCTCGGTACACCAGAATACCTCGTTCAGGCTGTCGGACCACTGGTATCGCTTCTGAGATCTGCAGGCGACATCCAGCACATTGCACTCTACAACATTGTCCAGGTCTGTTTGAGCCATCCGGAGCCATTCGTCAAGTACTACACACACTTCCTTGTTCGCTCAACGGATGCCCCACATATTTGGCGCCTCAAGCTAGAGCTCCTGACGTTGATCTTTCCATATGCGCAGCCAAGGTTGCAAAGCCTGATTTTAGCTGAGCTCAGCCACTTCTCGCATTCTGGAAGTCTTGATGCGGCGCTGGTCAAGGAATCTGTGCGTGCGATCGGAAGATGTTCGCAGAGTCCTGCGACGAGCCCACAGACGTCAGCCAGATGCCTGCGCCTGTTGCTGAAACACATTGGATCTGCGGACGGCCATCTAGTCGCTGAGTCACTTGAAGTCATTCGACACCTCATTCAACGAGACCCCAGTGCTCATCGAATGACTGTCGTACGACTTGCCAAACATCTCGACGCAGCAACGAGCCCACAAGCAAGAGCAAGCATCATATGGCTCGTCGGCGAGTTTGCGGGTCTCGACCCCGAGAACAACATTGCCGCAGACGTCTTGCGCATTTTGGTGAAGGGCTTCGCAGATGAAGCGGAACCGGCTAAGCTTCAAATCGTGTTGCTAGCTGCGAAAGTCTACATCCATCATCTCACCGCGAACCCACCACCGGAGCCAGTGAAGCTTGAAGAGAAGAAGGATAATACGTCGTTAATGGACAACTTCCAGGAAGAAGAAGGTGGTTTCCGGGACACTGATCTCGAAGTACCGCCCGAGCCTAAAGAGCAAGAAAAGCCTCACCCCGTCAAGGCCATTTACGATCATCTACTTCTGCTCACCAGATATGACACCTCCTACGACCTCCGTGACCGCGCACGCGTCTACAAAGCCCTCCTCGCAACCCCCACCTCCACACAGCTCGCATCCCTTCTCCTCCTCGCCCCCAAACCCGTCCCGCACATCCCCAGCCCCAGCGAGACCCGCAAAGGCTATGTCCTCGGCAGTGCCAGCCTCGTCATCGGCGACGAAGGAGGCGTCGGTGGTCTACGCGGCTACGACGACCTCCCGCGCTGGGTCAAAGACGGGCACGAACCCGATCCCGCACTGCGCGACGAGGTTGTTCCATCCACTACTACTTCGACGTACGAATCTGCGCGGGCAATGACAGCGGCTGATAGACTTGATGCCGCTGCTGGGCCGATGAGTAGTAGAACGCCGGATAGTATTCTGTCGCCGAGGAGTGCGAATGGTGTTGGTGGTGGGGAGGGTAAGGGCAAGGAAAAGACGCTGGATGATTGGCTCGCGGAGGAGAGTGCGAGTGAAGAGTCGGGGAGTGAGGAAGAGGAGGAGACGGAGGAGGAGGAGAGCAGCGAGTATGAGACTGAGAGCGAGAGTGGGGATGAGGGCGAGGGGGATAGACTGGTTAAATAGTCCAATCCTAATTCTCGTAGAAGGATCAAAGAGAAGGCTTTCCAGATGAATCGATGTGTCGTGCGACTATGCCCTGGTAAATTCCAACTTTTAGAGTTGTTGCTATAGTTGTGGTTTGCACTAGGTTGCACACTACGACGCACTAGCCCGAAATCTATCTGCAAGGCCTTTGGTCCTGCATTAGTAACATGTCCATTTCAAACGCAGTATCGTCGACCTTCTTTACCTACTCCTTTGTATCCTTCGCTCGGTATACATTGCGAATCAAACATAGTCGTCTTCTCAGCCAGTGACTTCTCCTTCGTGAGTCGCAAGTTCCAGTGTCTGGTTCTGCTCCTGCGACTTCGAATGTGTATGTTGCTTCTTGCTTGGCTGATGGATTTCCTTGAAAGGCTTTGTTGGTGCTCGTGAAGAGGTGCGGTAGATGCTAGGATCTTGTGCTGCAGGGCACCCTTCCTTCATACATCGCCTGTCTGAAATTGACTTTATCGCGCGCTTAGAGAAAGGGGATACATGGCTTGCGTAAGTGCATGTAAACTTGCTAGACAGTGAGCCAAAAGTAAGGGAAACATAAGCCGAAAAGAAAAGCCCCGGTTTCCGCTAGTAGACAAAGAAAATTGCGCCGTTCTTTGCTTGCTCAGCGCACGTCGGGTTGGAGTGTTACCTGGTTTCCCAGTACTTCGACCCTTGCAACGACCTGCTCCATGTACGAAAGGAACCTTGCGCTGGGCAGGAGGCGCAAGAACGTACGTGATGCAAACGTGGTCCCGTATTCAATGGGTCCAGGGTGCCCTTGTGTCATTAGCCAGTGAGGAGTCCTAGCTGGAAGTCACCTTCCCATAACGGTTCAACAGTCGAGGCTGACTGAGGCGTTCAGCCGAAGCCACTTTCCTCGTGATATTTCAGCACTCAAGACTGACTAAGATGTCAAGATACTTGCTATCTGTTTATTCTATGGATACACGCACACTCGAGTGCATGTAGTCGTTAGAGTTGATGTGATGAAAGTCGTGAAGATTCAGTGTTGGTCCTCCACCTGCGTCATGTGGATGAATCCGTCCAGTGGCGCACATAGACACGCAGCTGGGTGCAGAAATAGGGGGCGGGGTGCATGCTAATGTTTGTGCCTTGTGCATTGCCGCCTGGTTTATCTGTAGCGTTTCTGTCACACCCGCGGTCTGCTTTGTCATATTGCGGGCGTTACAGTCGGCATCTGTCTTCACCGCGACACACACACTCGCTATCTGTTTGCTCATCGGATTCTCAGAGGACAATGCCTGGATACTTTCCGTCTGAGCGTGCTACCGGTATCTGCCCTCGCGACATCCACTCGCCGGATGCTTGCGTCAGCGGTGCAGCCTCATCTGAATCACGGAGAACAATGACTGGATACTTCCCTGAGCAAGGCTTTCAACCAGTATACCGACCAGATACCGACGCTATTCAAGATACCAGGCGTAATAATTTCCAACGGGTACAACAATCTACCGCGCAAAACGTTTTCCAACCAGAACGCAGAGCTCAAGAGTCCGTCGCCACTCGCGGTATCGCGAGCAATGCCCTTGAGCATTATACCCCCAACATCAACTCCGCGGTTGGTCAACATTCCGAAAGGAGATCTTTCGATGACAGGCTCCATTGTGCTACAGATCAAATGGCACCCAGGTTTCCCAGTCAGCCTGATCTCATCAACAACACCTTTACCCAGCACGAGACTGATCCTGCAAGACGCTATCACTCATGGAAAGATCATGGACTCAGTGAGTCAATTGGTAGCGCATTTCCACTTCAACACTACGCTGGTCCTGATCCCATGGCCAACACTTCTTTGCAGCGACAACTTCCATCCTCCAGTCTGTCGAGCACCGAACCCGATCAATACAGTTCATCGCAACCCAACGAAGAAATGAGGCCACACTACCCCGGTGACATTCCGTACGATTTTGATGCTACTGGTGTGCCGAAGGAGGTATTCGACCAGTATATGTATGCATTCACGTACGCGGCAGGTGGAGCTCGCGACGAGGTCTGGGCAGAATTTCGGCAGATGTCGGCATTCCATGAGACAGCACAAGTTACAAAGGCGAAGGATCGAATGTGGAAACATGCGTACGAACTATTCATACCACTCATGCGCCAAATGAAGCAAGAGAAGTCTGTCAAGGAGATTCAGCAATGCGTGTACGAGACGTATAAAGTCAGACTCAAGTGAGTGTTCCGATCATAGTTCAGTGACAGGCAGTGGTCTAATTCATTACTAGCTATAACAAGTTGACTCAGATGATCAACAGACCAATGGACAAATCACCACGAACCTCTTTCAACGCCCCGTCCCCATCCAGCAGTTACCATACGCCTGATTTCCGAACCCAGCCTGAGTCAAACAATTACAAGGGTACATCACAACTAGAGGAGAGGATGAAAGCCGTGCGCAGTCAGTTCAACTCATTTAAGGAAAAGACGAAGACGAGGATTCAGGCATTGCTTCATGAGATCGCTTCATTGCGGCGAGAGCTGGACGCTGAGCGGGAGAAGGCGAGGAAGCTAGAAGAGCATAACGAGTGGATGGCCGATGAGAAGTATGATCTGGAAGCGCAATTGACAGATATACACATGTTTGAAAAGCCTGGGTCCAAACGGAGTCGATCGGGCAGTGGGTCCTCAATAAGTCGTAATTCCTCTATGCGTAGCACACAATCTCGCATGTCGAGTCGTTAGGCAGATCGAGATATCGAGGATTGCCAGCTCGGATCGACTTGCGCTAGCTTTCATAAACTTGTTACTACATTACACATTAACATCTCCATGGAGTTTTATTCAGAAATACATGTCTGCGATCCTCACGTGTTCACGCTGGTTTCTGTTTGATGGGCCGTGCCGTAGATATGGTACTTGCCTTCTAAAGCATGTCTTCACTCCCCAAGGCGCAGGGTCTGACGCGACCAGCCACAAGGCCACAGCTGTTTCCTGCCCGCTTGAACAGTGGCTTAGTGATTTTGATGCCAAAGTGTGTTTTCGTTGGCAACCAGGTTTTGGTACTACTGCAAAGCTCGTTCCTAGTTTAATCATCATGTAGCACAGAGACCAACCTCTGGTCATCAGGTTCACAAGAACGGTCTTCACATTCCACGCCTGCATATTCCCAAATACTGTTTTGAGAACTTTCATGATCTTTCCTCACATATGGCCAGGCAACCATTATTGCAAGGCTTAGATCTAACCGCGTAAAATCCCCAGAATTCCGTGAAAATCCCGGAGAATCCTGGAAAACTCTGGAGGACCCCTGGTGATCTCAAACTTTCCTGGGATTCTTACTGGGTTGTCTGAAAGCCGGCCCGGGCTCCAGAACGCCCATGCCTTCCGAAAGGTGCAATGCTTCCGGCGGGGTCAACAACACTGTCCCGAGAGGTCACGCACTTACGCGACACATCGCCAATGCAGCCTTTCATACCCCCCGCTTTTCAAGACTTTTGTTGTGGCTGTACATACCACGTGGTTTTCCTGTCATGTCGGGGTGGGTCGGGCCATGCCATTACAGGTCTTACAACAACAGCACAGCGGTGACACCAAGTAGATTGTCGTCAGTGCAGGAAACCCAGAGCGTCTGGAGAAGCTTACCGCCACACATGCATGAACTCCCAGTTTCACGTTGGGAGAACCGCGTGGAGATGATGATTTGCGCAAATAGCTGCAGTGTCGCAATCGTCAAGGGAAAAACGCTAAGGATGTTGTCCGTGGATAGTGCTGTCATCGTGAGTCCGTTGCGCCCTCATGCGTCAGGCTGCAATATTAACAAGTTGACACATCAAACGCATAGTCGCTTATATGTGCTCCTGATAGAGTCTTTTCTATTGTTCCTTTAGCGTACTACACGATGACATTGTTCAGGTTTTGTTCAGCATTTGACGGTATTTCTGCGAAATGAAGACGAGCTAACTGGAAAGGGATAGAATTGGCGAATCTCCCCAGGTACCTTTTCTGGGTAAGGAGAGGTTGTAATGACATGACACTTCGTTTAGATTTGGCGTCTGCATCACTAATTCGGGTTAGCCATGTTGATTGAATCCAAAACTTCTACAATATTTCTTCAGAATTCCTCTCTCACACCTTCCCCCGGTTTTCACGAAATTTACAGAAATATTGTCGACAAAACTACAGAACGCATCGTGTTTTGGCAAATTTGGGAACAACTCTCAGTGAACTTCAATGAAGTTATCTTTCTCCAACAAAGTAATCCAGTCCCACCGCACAATGGGCAGCGCATCCTGTTATATAGAGGAGCCCTTCGTTCCTGTAAAAAGGCATGATACTTTTGGCATACATGGAAAGCACACCATTCAACTATCGTACCTATCTACTACCAACCTCCGGCGCCGGTTCTATCCAGAAACCCCTCTTCAATAATGGCTGAACCCATTCCCAACATCCAGACAGTCAAAGACTTTGCGCCCAACAACCCCGCGTTTCTACGCTGCGTAGATCGTTGCGTACAAGAGAAACGTCCGAGCACAGCCATCGATCTCTTGTTGGATGATCTGAAAATGCAAAGTATGGAGATAGGTCTCAAGAAAATGCTTCACAAAGCCTTCTACCATGCGGTGTTTCCATACGTGAAACAGGAGAGAGCTTTGAAACCTAACCGTGGCTGGAAACATATCATCGCAGAAATCGAAGAAGGGACTGGAATTGGTTTCACGTAAGTGGCCCTTTGGGAATTCCGCACGCAGCCACGCTAACAAAGTATTTTTGATGGCCAGTCCAGGTTTTATGAAGAAGTGTGTCGAAGAAGACACCTCTGTGCAATTGATACATGAAAAGTTGGACGTGTTGCTGGACCACTGGACGAAACACAACCCCAACCATGCCCCAGCAACCCAATCGGCTGGCCCCACGATTTTGCAGAACCAAGCAGATGTTCAAAATGCTGCTGCTACTCGTGGTACTCCGAATACCATGCCTTCTCAGTATCCAGGTATGTTTTCGAAAAAAGCACTTTTCAGATTGAATACCGCTGCTGATCTTGAGTGCTGAAGCGTGCGGAGACAGTCTGCCCGCTGAGGTGTCTGTGAACGAACCCCTGGTGACAGATGCGATGTATCGCTCTGCACAGCAGACCTTTGCGCCCGATGCATGCGATCAAAACAACACAAACACCACGCCTGGCACCGTCCAAAAAGCCGAGCAGGGCTATGTGGATAACGAAGCCACCACACCCGCTCTTTTTCGTTGGTGGGCTGATGATGCACAATCGTGAGACCTCTTAAGGTCTCATGGAATGTTTGCAATGCTAGAGTATTGTTCAGATTGATTACAATTTCTTTCCTTCGTTCTTCTTTTGGTACAGGTGTTGGCAGCTTTCACGGAGGTATCTGTATGTTCAAGGGTTGTTTCGTCCTTATTGAGATACCACGACCTTGTGCAAAAATAAGACAAACAAAATATTCAAACAGAAAAAAAGATATTACCATTATCTCTACGTCACATGACTGGTGTAATGTGATCCGGTTATGACAACATCCTTTCAGCCTACAGTCCTTGCGCATTGCGTGACTTGGTTGAGTGGTACAAGTACAACGTAGGAACAATTCCGAAAAAGCGAAGATGCGGGCAACAAAGCGATTGAGAAAGAGAGGGTGACAGTATCTAAGAAGTTGGAATAGGTAGAGGTCTCTTGCACATTTTGAGACATTGCTTTATGTTTAGAGGTCTCATGTAAAGAGAACGCGTTCTGGAAAACTTTTGTACGACGCGAATGTTGGGGCCGAGTATCGCGTGTGGCTTTGGCACTGGAAGACGTGTTACCACCGTGCTTTTGAATGTGGATACCAAGCAGCAAATAGTAGGGCGGATTCTATTCAAGTCGGCTAATTACTGCATTGGGTGTAGGCGTCGATCGGGATTTGGCGAAGGCTGTTGAAGCAGCATCTGTGCACGGGAAACTAGCGTACTCCTGTCTCAATGTATCTTTGTGTAGATATGGAGATATAATATTCAAGAGAGGAGATGATGGAAAAGACTCCTATTTGTAGCCTTCTGCGTTCTTGCTAAAGGCGGCTGTTTCCGAAACAGTCGATATGCTGCGAGCCACACACCATGCATTAGCGGCAGCCAAGAAAATACTCCCCGCCCCTGTCTTGTCACCCTGAAGTCTTGGAGGGGGCCATTTACTATCCAATAGACAATCCGTTTGCGTCCAAGCCTTGCGGATACACGGAAGCTCGGGACGGAGCGCGTCAGAATTCCGACGCAGTTCCCAGGCATAGGCAAGTTAGATAATACGAGTGCTGCAACAAGTTCAGCCCATCCGTTCGCTTATTTCTTCCCTATCCTCACTTCCTCAGCCTCGCTCGTTTCTGCCTTTCCACCTCCATTTTTAACATGTCGTCGGTATCTACCAGCCCACCCGTAACTATAACGGACGCGGCTGAAATCGCGTCGTACAATCGCGGCCCTATTACAGAAATACTATCCTTTCCGGCCTCATGTACCCAGACCATTACGACTGGGGCCAAGAACTACTTTTTCGGGCATCGTGGGAAGCATTTACGACAATAACTGTATCGCGCTTGGTACCCTCGACGCTGGATATCTCATAGAGACGGATCGCTGGGCTAAATACTACTGTAGGCAAAGACATCGCGGCCCTAATTTCGAACGTAGAATGCGTGCTCATGTTGTTTAGATAGCCCAGCTATATGTCCTCATGGCTGGACCGCAGCGGAGACGTATACATCCTGCATCAGTGTAGGGCGGGATCCGACGTGCATCTCACTTGGCCCCGCCACCACAGCGGCACTGTGCTGTCACTGCTACGTCCTGGGGAAATGCACGCATACTTACAGCTG